GTAATCCTGGGCTTACAGTGCCACCTACAGGTAACAAAGGAAAGACCAGGAGGATTTACAAACCAAAGAAAAACCACAACGTGCTATGCTTAATTAAGAAAGTAGGAGTAAATTCTTTTAAAATATTTATTAAAATCTGAAAGCATATTTCTCATTGATAAATGTAACAGCCAAGGGCCAGTGAGTTGGCTTGGAGGATAAAGGCACTTGGGAGTCTGACAATATGACTTTGCTCCCAGGACTCATGGGATTAAGATGAGAACTGATCCTTAAGGTTGTTGTCTGTGTTCATGTGTGCTGTAGCTCATATGCATGTCAACCCATGTACACACACACACATAGACACACACACCCAATTGTGCAAGTTTGCTTCCTGGTAATGTGTTATGCTGTGTTAAACACAAAGTTTGGAAGAGCAGAATTCATCCAGCTTATTATCACTGCTTTCCCACTCTAGGTGGAATATTTCATTTTAAATATATGCCACACTTTGTCAGTAAACAGATACTTGGATGTCTTCTGCCTATTAACGTTTATGAATAATGCCACTATGAAGATAAGTGTCAGTCTGTCAGATTGCTAAAATAATGTCCTATAGTCTCGATAGCCTAGAAAATATAGTAAAGTCAAAGACGAACAAGTACCCCTCTATTGAGGGGTGTGTTGAAAGCTCCGGCCTTCTTGTTGTAGTGGGACAAGGACCAGGATCTATGGTCTCTTCTTATTAAGACGTGCATTCCATCTATCTAACTTCCAAAATACCATCACACTGTCAGGATTCAAAACAAAGGCTGAGGACACACGAGTGAATGATGACTGCTGTGCAAATATGTGTTTGAGTCCTTGCACTCACCTTTTTAAAAGATTAAACGAAAAACCAAGCCTATGTAACTAGAAGGAACTGCTAGATGATGTGATAATCATGTCTAGTTTTCTGCAGGACTTACACTGTTTTCCACAGTAGATGAACCACAGTAAATCCCTACAGGAAACGTCAATTTCTCCTCATCCTAGCATTTGTTCATTTCCTGTCTTTTAAACTATTTAATAGACTTTCTTATAGGAGTAAAATGAAATACTGCTTGGTATCTATTTGCACTTACTTTAAATTTGGGAAGTAATGGTGGCGAATATCTTGTCGTGTGCTTTTGGACATCTATAGGATTTCTTAAGATAAATCTTTTAAAGTCCTTAGCCCACTTTAAAGTAATTATTAATTCTTTGAGAACTTCATACATGCATACAATGTACTTTGATGATATTCAACCCTATTCTTCCCACCCCCCCCCCCCAGGTCTACACCCCATCTCCACTCCTCTCAAATTTTGTCCACTTTTTATTGTCATTGTTTCATGTTTGTTTTTATTCTATGTGTGTGTTGCCTGTATGTATCTACATACATATACATGTGTATGCTTGGTGCCGGCAGAGGCCAGAAGAGTGCATCAGATCCACTAGAACTGTACTTACCATTGTGAGATCAGTCATTTATAAAAACACACTACCACAAACATTCTTCCTTTATGTAATTATACATTTCTTGTGTACCTAGTGTATTTTAAGGCATATTTTTTTATGTTTATGTCAAAGTTTTCCAGTTTTTCTTTAATGTTGCCTGTGCTTTTGATATCTTATCCAACTGATTACTGCCAAGTTCAGCCATCCCTTAGCTCTTTTATTTTTTTAAATATTTGGTCCAATTTTGAGTTTTACAAATGTTACAAGATAAGCATCCATCTTCATTTTTTTGTTTGTTTAGTTTTACCACCACCATTATCTTTTTTATGGGGCCTACTCTACTGCTCAGAGGAAGTTTTCTACTCACGCCACATAGGAAATTAAACACGAGCAAACTGTGTCAGTGGCATTGAGTGAATGGCATGAGAACAGAGTTCAGAAGATCAAGGCAACTAGGACTTGCAGGGCAGAGAGTACCAGAAAGGGAGTTACTTGTCGGAGAAAAATGCTAATAAGACCTCTCTGCCCATGCAAGTTGTGAAATTCCAATCAAGAAAAAACCAGCAAATAAAATATTTACACAGGACTGGGAATAGAGTGAGCTTCCTCCAGCCAGCATTAACAAATGCATTACAGTCAAATCCTCAGAATACCGCTCGAAAATGAAGCCATAAAATCCCTTTACCCCACTTTCTGCAGCCTCAACACTCTTCCTTTTAACTCTACAAAATTAACTTTTTTACATAATTTTTTTATTTTATACGTTTTTATTTTTTAATATTAATCACAGGTTATTTACTTTGTATCCCAGCTGTAGCCCCTCTCTTATTCCCTCCCAATCCCATCCTCCATCCCTCATTTCCTCCCTGCCCCTTTCCAAGTTTTTTAAAACTACCTCTAAAGGAGAACTTTTATGCCTTTGTCATAAAAGAATGATGGAAATTTAAGGTGATGAATATGCTAATTTCATTGTTAGACTCATGAAACAATTATGCATTTAACAAAACATCGTATCATACCCCATTAATATGTAAAAAAAACTATTCTTGCCTTTCTAACAAAATTAAAAAGTACAAAAGAGAAAAGAAAGAAAGAAGGAAAGAAAGAAGGAAGGAAGGAAGGAAGGAAGGAAGGAAGGAAGGAAGGAAGGAAGGAAAGAAAGAAAGAAAGAAAGAAAGAAAGAAAGAAAGAAAGAAAGAAAGAAAGAAAGAAAACAGAAAGAAAGAAAACAGAAAGAATTGAACTCAGCTTCTTTTACCTTCTTTAACTAGTCCTGAGGAGGAAAGGCAAAAGTAAAAGTTGTGAAAATTCTGTGTAATAAAGACTGTTATCACCATCCAAACTTGTTAGGTTTTAAATGGGGTAGAGTTCTCCAGAGAATACCTAGATGGGTCATTGAGCAATAAAGAATTTATCATCTGCTATGGACAGACAAGGTCAACATGGTGAGGGCTTTGAGGACAGTTCAGACTCAGTCACCATACACAGACAGTGCAGTGGGGAGAAGCAGAGGCCTATTACAGCTTTCTGAAGAGGGGAGGTTTCACAGCAGGAGCTTGCAGCCAGGCTTTCTGGTTCCCAGGCAGGAAGAGTATAGGGGCAGGACCCTTTCATGTGAACCAGTGGGAACCTAGTGAGAAATCGTGGTACAGGTTGCCTGTCAGCTAGGAACTCAGAGAATGTCTCAATAGGGAACCTCAATATATAAAGTATCTGCAGAAGGAGGACTGAGGCAGGGCTGAATTCTAACATCACATTCTTACAGATCCCAGTTGTAGAAGAGTTTCATTAAAGGAACTCTGGGAACAATATTTCTTAATGAGTGCTTTTGAGAAAACTTATTTACAAATACCTTGGAGGTAACCTGTTTGAATCAGTATCTTTGTTGTTCTTCATCAGTTTTTCTGTCACCAAATATACATTTATTGTTTCTATGTGTGAGGCTGTCATGTTGGACAGAAAACACGGATAGGAGTCTGTGGTTCATGTGCCTTTCTCCAAATAGGAGAAAGTATGCAAGCATACTCCAACTGCTAGTCATGTGGCCTCTGGGTTAGTCACATGAGATTACAGTAAAAGGTCAAACAGTTCTGTAGCATACACACACACTAAGTCAGTCTTTCCTGAATCTTTAGATACTGAGAAGGATTTTTATATTATAACTAGGCTCTTATTCAGTTGGCTTTAATCAAATGAAGGGCTATTCTGAATGGACCATTGGACCTACTCAGAGGGGCTAAAAACCTTTTCTCTGAAGACTCCAACAGTGGCTGTGCCTGCAGTTGCTCTCCCTGAGACCTGCCATCTTCCTGCCTGCCTGCCTACTTGCAGAGAGCAGCTGCCGCCTTGTGGTCCTTACTAGGTTTCTGTTCAGTTGTGTAAGCCAGTTCCTCATATTAACTCAAAGCACACACAATTCTCCCTGGTGAGTCTTCTCATTAAAGCCTGATAACAGAGGTTTTCTTTCTTCAGTTCCACACTGTGTGCAAAGGTCTGCTGTTTCTCACTGATCTGTTTATTCTAAATGTGCCCTATAATTACCACCAATCCTTCTCTTTTAGTTCCAGTTCCCATCCAGAAAGTTTAACAGTTGTGTCTTAATTAGGGTTTCTGTGCTGTGAAGAGATACCATGACCTCAGCAATTCTTATAAAATAAAACATTTAACTGGGGCTGGCTTACAGTTTCAGGGGTTTGGTCCATTACTGACATGGTAGGAAGCATGGCAGCATTCAGGCAGACCTGGGTGCTAGAGAAGGAGCTGGCAGTTCTACATCTGGATCTGAGGACAGCAGGAGTCTGTGTGCTACATATAGCATGAGCATATATGTCCTCAAAGCCTACTTCCAATGATAGAGTTCCTCCAACAAGGCCACACCTTTGGACTATTCTTTGGATTATTTTTATTTTTTTTAACTTTTATAAGAAAATCTATATAAATCAGCATTTTTCTAGATCTGAAAACTCACTTATTTTATGTACACAAGGTCACACCTCCTGATATTGCCATTCCCTATGGGCCAAGCATTCAAGCACATGAAGTATATATATTCAAACCACCATGTATGCTGTCCTAATCTTTTCCTGTTTTGTAATATGTGGTGACTGTGGAACATTTACTTTCTTTTCACACTCTGTCATTGTCCAATTCCAAAAGTTCTTTTGGCGAACACAAAGGCTTTGATCCAAAAGCAGAGAAATTAGACAGAATTGTATTTCCTTTGGAATTTTCTGAAACAAATGAATAGTAAAATGTTTAAATATCAGCATTTTCTACATATAATGATAAACACTTAATCTATACTAAGGCCAAATTTATCAACTGTGGATTAGGCTTCTGGGTATTTCAGGGAATTTGCAAATGGTGAAATTTTTTACTACTGGGTTTACTACTGGAGTTCAGGTAAAAAAAAAAAAAGATAAACATAAAATCTAGTATCTTTTGATGACTATTCTTCTCAAAGTGGTATTCAAAAATAAATGTCAGAAATTATAAATAGCAAAACATGTCATGCCATGCCATCCAGCATATAACAGAACACATCACAGGAACAACATATTTATTGAATATGTATTTTATTAAAAAGTACACAAAATGACACAAAGAATATATTGCTGACCTTGAAGTCTTTCAAATGAGAATAATCATGATGCTCTCCCGAAATTCATGTTATGAAAACTAAAATGTATTATAGTGTAGTTTATTTTTTTTAGATTTATTTATTATGTATGCAGTGTTCTGCCTGCATGTATGACTGTATAACGGAGAACAGCACTGACCTCATTATAGATGGTTGTGAGCCACCATGCGATTGTTGGGAATTGAACTTAGGACTTCTGGAAGAGCGGCCAGTGCTCTAAACCTCTGAGCCATCTCTCCAGCCCATAGTGTAGTTTATTAATTCTACAGCAGTACATGATTATGCCCTCCACACTATCTGTAATACAGAAGTTTACAAAAGAACCTTTGTTACACAGTTCACCTTTGTTGAATACCCCATGTTAACAAACAATGATTCTCTTCCTTCAATAAATGAATATATAAGGGTTCTTTGGACTATTTTTATTTTTGTAACTTATCTTTAATAAAAAAATCTATAGAAATCATCATGTTTCTAGATATGAAAACTCACTTATTTTATATAATAGATTTAGATCGCCATGCTAGAAGAATTCACATGACCATCAGCACTTCCTTTAAGGAAATGTTCACAAACATCTTTTCTGGAGTTTTGAGCCAGGCCTGACATTAATAATATTATTCTCATGCTAAGAAGGAACTGAAGCAATCGTGGAAGGCATAACTGCTTGTGTACCCTATTACATTGTGCAGGGGATGACGCAATACTTTTATTCAAGCAATGGTAGATCTGACTGAGGATCATAACCTCAATCTATTTCCATCCACAAATTTCCTCCACAATTTCTTCTAATATAAATTCCATTATTTTATTAATACATTAACACAGAAACTTGAGTTTCTAGTACTCAAATCAACACTAAATTGAAGTAATCAATTTTTTTAATTTTAATTTTGTTTTTTAATATTAATTACAGTTTATTCACTTTGTATCCCAGCTGTAGCCCCTTTCCTCATTCCCTCCCAATCCCAGTCTCTCTCCCTCATCTCCTCCCATGCCCCTCTCCAAGTCCACTGATATGGGAGGTCTTCCTTCCCTTCCATCTGACCTTAGCTTATCAGGTCTCAACAGGACTGGCTGCATTGTCTTCCTCTGTGGCCTGGTGATCAAAGAGTCAGCCACTGAGTTTATGTCAGATAGAAAAACCTAAAGGGGACAGGAGTTCCACAAGGAATATTTTTAATTTTCATTTTATTTTTATTAATTACATTTTAATCACTTTGTATCCCAGCTGTGATTTTTTTAAATTTATTTATTATTTATACAGTATTCTGCCTGCATGTGTGCTGGCAGGGCAGCAGAGGGCACCAGATATCGTCATAGATGGTTGTGAGCCACCATGTGGGTTGCTGGGAATTGAACTCAGGACCTTTGGAAGAATAGCCAGTGCTCTTAAACTCTGAGCCATCTCTCCAGCCCAAGCTGTGAATTATTTAAATGTAAAGTTTAATTATTTGCCAGACATGGTGGCTCATACCTTTAATACCAGCACTTGGGAGGCAGAGGCAGGTATATCTCTGTGAGTTTGAGACCAGCTTAGTCTACAGAGTGAGTTCCAAGACAGCCAGAGCTACAGAGTGAGACCCTGTCTCAAAACAAAGCAACACAAAACACAAGTTATTTAAAAATAATTGTATTATTATCTCTAAGCAGTACACCATTTTAATTTTCTGAAATAATGTACTTTGGAAATACTTGGTTAGATGATTTTCAGAGATTTTCATATTTTAACTCAGGCTCTCTAAATATGTGTATTAGCATGACTGCACATTTATAATCACTGCCTTTTAATGAAAGGCTTCCAAAGCAAACACATTAACAGGTGTTTGAATTACCAGAAGACATAGTTTTACTACTCTCTTCGAGTATAACTAAAGATCCAGGTGTTACGCAGATTGCTGCTTCTCTGCCAAACACTTCTCAATGTCATCAAGCACCTGAACGGCAGCCTTGGGAATCCGGGTTCCAGGACCAAATACATTAGAAACACCAACTTCATACAGAAAGTCATAATCCTGTTGAATAAATTTGCTTGATTAATAGAGACATGCATGTGTATGTGTGTGTGTGTGTATGTGTGTGTGTGTGTACACCTTTTCCTTTCTACTGTGTCAATGTAAAGCTTTTCCTTTCTTCTCCAACATCTGAAACTTTCTCAGCTGGACACTGTTTGCATGTGGAGCTTATACGAAAACCTTCCTTGACTGAAGCAGCTGATAACTAGCAGCACTGTGCTCACACCCCAAGTCTAAACCAGAATTCTGCCCAGTACTGTTTGTGATCCAAAGCTATGTAGTCCTAATGAAGGAACTGCACTTAAAAACCTAATTTTCTCTCTAAGTCTTTACTGCTTGTCATTCTGTGTTAAACTAAGTATCATGATATGTCTCTGATATGTAGATATGTATCAGTCACTGGTGAATAGTGGTACTTTGAATCTGACCTCATGATAAATCACTTTGGTCCAGGAAGACCAGTTGTTTTTCTGTTCTGCTGCCACAGTCCTTAGCTTGATTTAGTGACAGCTCGTGTTTTAGTGTAAGGATTCCCAGGGCTCGAGTCCTGCCACAGGCTTTAGGCTGAGTTAGCATCAGAACATGTTTGGCTCTAACACTGTGAGCCTTGACCCATACCGTATGGGAAGGTGGTCTGGTCTGTGTTTAACTGTTGCAACACTAGTCTTTTCTGCATTTTCAAATAATCAAAATTAGACAATAAATTACAAGTCACACTGATTATCCACTATGTGCCTCTTCCTACCTTGGCAGAATTCTAACAACACTAAGATTTTTGAAATAGCATTTAACATGTACTCCTGAACCTGTGTCCTTCTCCCCTGTATTTCTGAGAGAGGAGACCATGCCCCTACTTTGTATCCCCAACACCGAATCTATACACACTGAAAACACATCACTGAGAAAGCAGGTGCTACATGTTTTCAGAGCACTTGTAAGAAGAATTGGAACACTTGGTAACAATTATCTCCAAGTTGAGAACAGGCTGATTGGCAAGCTATCTTCTTTTCCAATAATGCATAATGTTCCATGGCATTATCCTGACATCTGACTTGGGATGGGGTATAGACATGGCAGAACTATGGGGTACTCTGAAATTCTGTAACCAAAAGAAGGTCTGACTAAGCTAAATCTTACATAGGATTTGTAAAATGCACCTTAGTGGGTGGATTAAAAGTTAGCAATACCTGATTATGGGCAAAGGGCACACAGATGATGTTTATGCTGTTTTTTATTTTTGCACCTTAGGTATTAATTTAAAACTATTTTTAAATAAAAAGGTATTTTACAATGTCCTCCACATACTAGGACCTAAAAATTCATGCTTCAAAATGTAACTATGAAAATGACATGAATAAATTTACTAAGAGAAATCACTGGGATATAATTGGCCTGTACATCTAAAACAAACTCATCCTTAGAAACATGTCTGTCTGTCTGACTGTGTGTGTGCATTGTTAGTCCCATATTCTTTCTTTCTATCTATCTATCTATCTATCTATCTATCTATCTATCTATCTATCTATCTATCTATCTATCTATCTATCTATGTGAGTTGTAGTCCCACATTATATCTAATCTCATATACTTAGGCATACACATGGGGGGGGCAGGTGGCAAGGTTTGTGTGCTTTTTACACAGCAGTTTCCTCTGAATTACTGAAATCGTCCTTCAAGAAAAAGGCAGGAATCTTCCTGAGTCTCAGGAAGAAAACAAATTTGCAAGTCTATGATAGGTGAAACTTTCAAGATTCACAAGGACCCCACCCCATGATTACAGAATAAGTGAGCAACTGCTGGAGCCTGACCAACAGAGCTATGAAGGGAGATTTTTCTGACCTAGTGAGCTGCCCACGTCCTGCAGAGAGCAGACTTCTCCAGTGTGGACGGGGCCTTTCGGTGAATCAGCTGATTCTGAGTCATCCCCGCTCCTCTACGTAACCCCAATACACCACATATGTGTGTGTGTGCACATGTACACGTACACATGTGCAGAAAAGTATGGAGAAGAAAATACCTGTGGTGGAATCACGCCCCCACACATGACGAGGATATCTGGGCGTCCCAGGGCAGTCAGTTCTTTGATAAGCTCAGGAACGAGGGTTTTGTGACCAGCGGCAAGTGTGCTGACACCCACAGCATGCACATCTGCGTCCACAGCCTGCTGTGCCACTTCACGGGGAGTCTAGGCACATGGAAAGCAGAGACAGATCACTGGTTCTTCCCAGGTAAGGTACAAGCAAGACCTGCTAGGAAGCACTGGCTACTTCCCTCAACAGGAGGGATTCTTCCTGACTGTCACTTCCTATTTCCTTACCTTCAGATTTTGAGTAGTACTGAAGTTACTGATAAAATGAACACCAATCCTGTATTTGTTTCTGGGACTGGAATTTACCAATCACGTCTAAGTCAGAACAAAAAAATTTCCTCAAGGATTCTTCGAGGTAATCTTCACGAACCACAAAATAGCAATCAACTCTCAAAGACTACATAATAAAATCTCTTAAAGTAATCTTCACTTTGCAAAGCCTCATAAAAATTTCATTCTGCACTTACATTTATTTTTACAAGAATCTGAGTTAACATGAATTTTGCTTTATTTTTATCATAAATTAAATGGATTATAAATATTGGAAAATGCTGAATTTGTCGGACTTTTTAAAAATAACCTTAAAAACATCATCTTGGCTATTATGATTTACTTTTTCTAAATGTGGCACATACCTGAAAAAGAGGCCCTATATCCACATCAAAACCAAGATCAGCAAATCCTGTAGCAATGACCTTGGCTCCTCTGTCATGGCCATCTTGCCCCATTTTTGCCACAAGAAGACGAGGTCGGCGACCTTCACGTTCCTTGAACTTATCAACTCTGCGAACATTTTAAAAGGCAATAATAGTTAAATATTAGCTGTCCAAATATAAGATATAAAAAAATTTATCCTCAGAAATCTTTCAAGAACATCCACTTATGTACATCTCAAAAACAAAATCTCCCAAAGAAAGAAAAAAAAAAAAAGCTTTTGATTTTTTTTTTCCAAGTTCTACCAAACCTTCAAAGAAATGCTAACCCAATGCTCCTCAAACTGCTCCATAAACAGAAAGGAAAGGAACACTACCACACTCATCCTGTGAGGCCAGTATTAGCGTTTAACGTGGCCCATTGTGATGACACACAATCAGAATGCGTGTATGTATAAAATGACAAATTATACTAACCATGACAAAACGGTATGTCAATTTTGTCTTTTTAAAAAGTTTCTTTTGCGGCTCAGTAATACAGTAATACAAGTGGGTTCCCTAGTAAGGGGAACAGGAGCTGTCTCTGACATAAATTCAGTGGAGGGCTCTTTGATCAGTCCCCCTGAGAGGGGAGCAGCCTTATCAGGCCACAGAGGAAGACAATGTGGCCAGTGCTGATGAGACCTGATAAGCTAGGGTCAGATGGAAGGGGAGGAGGACCTCCCCTATCAGTGGACTTGGACAGGGGCTTGGGAGGAGATGAGAGGAGGAGGGTGGGATTGGAAGGGGATGAGGGAGAGAGCTAGAGCTGGGATATAAAGTGAATAAACTATAATTAATATAAAAAAATAAAATTTAATTTAAAAAAAGTTTCTCTTGATGACTTTTACCTTGGCTATTTAACATTTACAGAGTACATAAGTGTTAACACGGTTTTTGGAAGAATGTGCCTTACACAAGTTGCAAACACCAATCACTCAGAAGGCAGTTTTCCACCTGAGAAACAAATCATTGCAGCTTCATGTCAGGCAGTGGCACTAGCCCTCAGTGTCAACTCAATCAAGACTGATTTTACTTTTTGTACAGGTAGCAAACAGCTGTTTATTTTCCAAATGGAAAAATTAAGTTTTAACTACGTAAGCAACTAAACCATGTGAAGAAAGTTATGAAAATCTATAGCAACATCACTGCAAGCTCTCCACCTGGAGGATACGAAGCAGTGTCAGTATTAGTTATACAAATTAATATTTGACATGAGAAACTCCTAATGGAGACTGTGGTGCAAGGAAAAAGTAATATTCATTTTGCCAAGTGAATATTAGTTTTAATATTTAATTTTGTTTTTTACTTAATAATTATTTATTATTTTAGTTAATATTTTATTTAATAATTATAAATACTCATTTAATATTTAATTTTCATTAGTCAGTATATGCTATATTTCATATAATTATATATAATTCATTAGGTCATGAATGATTGAAGACAAGGATATCTTTAGAGAAACACATCGTGAAGAGGCTGTGGCAACATACAAACACTATACAATATATATAAGCTTGGTGGTACTGCCTACTACACATCTGGGCTCTATAATATGTGTATGCATGCACGTGTATGCGTGTATGTGTGTGTGTGTGTATGTTATAAATTTTTGTTCCTACAAGTGTTGGAAAAAACACAAAACACATCAGATTCAGGAGAAAACGGTGCAGTTGAGAAGCAGTAAGCAAAAAGCATGTGAGGCTGCTTCCTGCCTGCATACCATTTTGCAGTATCCCTTTTTACCACATTCTAAAATAAAAAATTTAAAATACAGCAAGTGAGTAACAGCATTGTTTATTATCACTAATTACTACATAGTGTTCATGATGGTAAGTGGATACTTCTGCGTAACTGGCAGAGCACAGGTGTACAGCAGCAGCATCATAACCACATGACTGTGACCACGGCTTCAACATCACTAGGTGTAATACCACTGGGAAACAGGAATTAGCACCATTATCATCTTTTGAGATTGTACATGCACTCCATTGTTGGTCAAAATATCAAAGGTTCACATACTAGCATAGGACTGTGTATTTATAATTATAAGACTGTGTATTTATAATTACAGTTAAAATGATAAATTATGTAATATTTTAAATTACAGATTAATCACATATTAACTGTATAATATATTTAATATTTGTTAGTTTTATAAAAATAACAGACTAGTAGAAAAGTCAGTTCATTTATTTCCCAAGTAGCGAGGACATTAAGCCATCAGCAGGCTCAAGGGAGTGGTATTAACATGAAGATGAAACCTGAAATCATTCAAGCTTACACAGTACCTCTTGATGGCAGATGTTATCTCTTTACTTTCTCCAAACTCCTGCCGATATGCTCCACTCACCATGCGATCATTAGCTTTATGCTCACCAAATATCTTTTTCAAAGCATCTGTGATTTCTCCAACTGTGCATCTGTAATATTAAAAGGAGGTACCAGTAAGAGCATTAATTTGTTGAAAATACATTCATGTTTACCTCAATAATTAATAAAATTAGAATATTTTGTTAATAAATAAAATAGGCTGTAAAAATTCAAAGATTTTTAAAGATACTATGAAAATATTTTTCCTGAGAACACTTATATAAAAGTGATTCTTGGGGCTGTTCTGGATTGTAATCCCTTCATAATATCTGTCCACCAAAATAAAAAGTAATTGACAGCAGGGTGGGCTGGCACATGACAGTAATCCTAGCTCTCAGGGAGACAGGCACATGGATCTCTGTGAGTTCAAGTTCGGCCTGGTTCTACAAAGTGAGTCCAGGACAGACAAGGCTACACAAAGAAAAACATCTTGAAAAACAAAACAAAGGAACAAACAAAGAAAAGAGTAAATTACCTAAAAGTTAGGAGTAGGTAAGTATCTGAAGGCAGCTCAACAAAACCCCATTTATATCAATACAAACAAGCAGAGCAAAAGTATCACTGGTATTTTCTGATTAGAAATAAACTTTTCAGTATGTTTCACTCAAGGAGAATGATGAACTCAAGAAGAACAGGTAGGTTACAGAAGAAAAGGATGTGAAACAGAAAATAAGAAAATAAAATCCATTTTCACAAGTGCTCTCCATTCCTTCCCCCTGCCTTTTCACCCTTCCCTCTATTTTTATCTTACATTAGACTTATTTAGCAAGAGGAGAAAAGCTTAGGGTTGGTGGTTGTGTATATTTCTGGTTGCTTAACGATTAATGACTCAAAAGTCATGATGACATTAATTTTTTTCCAACAATTATCAGTTTAAGAGTTTCCCCTCTCCTTCAAAGACTATGTTTGCCAAGGTTGTACACATGACCTTGCCAACAAATGAAAGAAATTGATGCAATATAATAGTGACAACTGTTCTGAGCTAGAGTGAATTGCACAATTATTAAAACCCCTTTAAGTATACTAATATTTCAAATGTACTGAAACTTGAGAAAAACTAATATAAAGTTTCTATTATGTTCTTTCTATTATGTTCTTTTCTATACAGAGTACAGAAAAACAATGTTTTATTTGAGTACACTCTGAAAAGCTAAATTGCTCAAACTTTCATTATTTGAAAATCTCCAAATTCCCCCATGTTCACCTTGCACGAGCTGCATCCACTGCAAGACCCAAAATATTGCCGTCTCCACTGGCAGCACACTGGGTAAGTGCCTCGAGGGCCCGCTCAGCCAAAGCTTGATCCCGGCTGGATTTGATCTTAAAAAGAAGGGAAGGAACAGTTTATGTGGAAAGACAATAAAATAGGTACCAAGAGATTAAACCCTGATACATACTTTATAAACCATTTTCCATAATCTTGACCTCAAAGGGGAGGGGGGAATAGAAGACAATAATATTCAACCTAAGAATTATGTTCATTTGTTCAGCTTAGTATGTAAAATAATTCTGATTTAGTACAAAGCCAACAACTCAGAAACAAGCAGAGTAGAAACTTCCCCAATGGTTACCCAGACTTTTCTGAAGCAACAACATAATGAAAATAGGTGAGCCTTTTAAGGAGAGATGACTAGGAACACTCAGTTAGCAGCGGGAAGACCAGACCAGAGCTTAACTATGCAGACGTGTCCTTTAGATGACTGACAACATACTGGCTATAATACATATCACTATTCTTTTTATTTAAAAATAAGTCCAAGAGAATGAGCCAGAGGCTGAAAGAGACTGAGAAAGAGAATAGAAACCATGGCTCAAACCACATCCCCTCAGGTCCTAGCTTTACTCTACCCTATCAACAACTTGTACAATCAACGTTACTCAAGCCCACATCTCACAAGCTGCACCTCCTCCTGCAAAAAGTCCAAACTCTGACACTTCCCAGGATGCCACTGAGATTATAACATCTGTTATCACAGATAGAATAGAGAATGTATATTACCGCAAGGAAAAACTCAATGCAAAACTCTCTACAAAGAGAAAAGACCTATTTTTCTTTGTTTTATGCTACATGTTTTAACTCTGAATGTTCCATCTAAGGATAGTGTGTTAGTGTGGTGCCTCTCAATTATGACTTCTAACACACTGCACTGTGATGGTGTAGATTTAACAATTGTGTAGCTGGGTGCGGTGGTGCACAACTGTAATCCCAGTACTCTGGGAAGCACAGGCAGGTAGAGCTCCATGAGTTCGAGGCCAGCCTGGCCTACAAAGAGTGTCCAGGACAGCCAAGGTTACACAGAGAAACCCTGTCTGGAAAAATAAATAGATAGATAGATAGATAGATAGATAGATAGATAGATAGATAGATAGATAGATAATAGAATAATAAAATAAAAAATAAAATAAAATAAAATAAAACAACAACAAAAAATTGTGCAACCTCTTTTATAGAATTTAAATAAAACAGAAAACATCTAAAGGCATGGAATGTAGTTTATAAAAGTATTGTTTGCTGAAACTTATCTTTATAACAGGTACATTCACACATTACACATATCTAGAAATATGGGAAAATGTACCCTTTACTTGGTTTTGAAAAACGTTGGAAAAACACTAGTATTAAAAGGAAGAGAATAAGCACAGAATCTGCTCATACTCGGTTCAACTTCCAACTTCCCCCTGACATTCACTATGTGACAAGTCTCAAGAAAAATACAGACATCTCTCCAAACCAACTTCCTATTAGGTTAGATTGATAATAATAATAACAATAATAATAATAATAATAATAATAATAACAACAACAACAACAATAATAATAATGATAATATAAATCTTAATAGAATTAAAGTTGAAAAATGTGTGTCTAACGAAAATGCTGGCATAACAAATACTCAGTAAATCTTAGTATTAAAAAGAAGTTGTAATAACAAGAATGCAGAGTCATTGTTGTTGAAAACAAGAACTTCAGCAAGTATGATCTGTACTTATATCCAGAATGGCTTAACAATTCAATCCTTAATATATATTTTCAGCAATTATGATCTAAAAACAGCATTAGTCTTCAGTTCATGGAATCCCAAGCTATTTAACTCACGCAATAATTAGCATGGACAAAGTTTTACAATTAAAATGGGCAACTATTATCTAAGCAGCAATTGATGGCAGCTGTACTACAGTCACTGTGACTGATTATATCAACAAACAAAACAATGCTCATGCCTTCCTGGCATTTTATTTTACTCCTGGATTTTTAAGAAAAAAACACTAAGCAAATAAACAAGTAAGTATCTAATTTAACAGAAGAAAAAGAAGCAGATTAGATTAAAACACTGAGCAGTGCAGCTGGCAGGAATTACTACTAGCTTCTTAGATAAGGTAATATTTAAGACAAGACCTGAAAAGCACACCTTTCCAAATTCACTAAAACACTAGTATTTCTTTATTTTTTATTTTGGTTTTTCAAGACAGGGTTTTTCTGTGTAGCCTTGGCTTCCTTGAAGTCACTCTGTAGGCTCGCCTCAAATTCACAGAAGAACTCAAAGTACCATAGCAGAAATGTATTTTAAAAACTTCTTGATTTTAATTATGGTAAAAGTTATTTTTTTATGATGAAAGAATTTTGATTTGGTCATGGTCCTAAGAAGTCATTCTAGGTTTAAAGTTTTTAAAAAGCTACAGCAGAGCCTTCCATTTTTCTAGAAGCTGAGTTTCCTTGCCCCAAATATGGTTTAGAATAGCTTACGGTAAATAGAGTGTCCCAAGTTTTGACAGTATATAGTTGATATAGTATACAGGTAGTGTCAAGGGTTTCAGCTGTAATAAATCCTTGGCCTCCTGTGGCTGCAGAGGACATAAGGCTACTCGCTAAACAGAACATCTCAATGATAAAATGTGATACTTGATTTCAATCAAGGATGAACGTGGGAAAAAGATCATTCAATATCTGCAAAAAATTCCATGCTATCTAACTAGAAAAGTCTATTTGATTTTTATAGAATGTTTGAACTAAGGGAGAAAAAGCAGTTTCTTAATCAGGAAAAGTAAGTGAAGAAAAAAATTAAAGGGTTTTGTTTCTTGCCTGAGAAATAATTATTACAAAAGCTAGAGACTAGAAAACAGGTAATCTCAGACTGTAGAATATATATGACAACAGTAAATGTTTTGTCCATTTCTGTATAATTATAACATTTTTAAAAGATACTGAAATGAAACATAAACATAGTGCTCACCAAGATGAACATACAGAACACCTTCAGCAAATGCACAGAGCTTCCTAGACACTGAAGCTTATAAAGGTGCTTGCAAAGACAGATAATCTGAAGTATCAGAAAGGAAATGAACCATAGTCCAGTGAAGGATCATTACAGTGAAAGCCCTGACTCAAACACTGACCTGAAGCCCCACCATGTACTTTGTGACTTCAGCTCTAAAGTCTTAAGAGATATAGACTGAGTCATAACTGTCCAATTATTTATTCCAAGCAAGTTTCCCAATTACCCTTTAAAATTTTTCAAGAGAAATAATATTGACCTCATGTAGATGTTACAGACTTTATATAGAATGATAATAATAACTCAGAACCCAGAGCCCAGGACATCCTTAGGAAACAGTAATACCTTCTTAATTTTCTCAATCTGCTTCTTGCGCACTGAAGTGTTGTCAATGGCCAGGACTTCCACAGAGTCTTCTTTTTCCAACTGATACTTATTTACTCCAACAATTACTTCAGAACCTATAAATTTCCCAAAGGAAAACATGTGGACTTACTCATAAACAGTTTCCTATTTCTCAATAGGAAAAATTCTATTCTCATACTCTCATCACATTTTTTTCTAAGTTTAATATTGTTAAGTAGCATTCTTAACTCACAATGAATTCTGAAATAATTCTGAAACTGAAGAACAGTTACACAGTTACATGACAGATTCTCTGCAAGGAAGGGCTTTACTATTCTCCTGAGCTACATACTTTCTCAGTTCTTAACCCAAGAAACCAAGGACAATCAGTTACCAGGACAGATTTAAAAAGCAAAGCAGGCAGCAATGCCCAATGGCTTTCCAGTACTTTCTACAATTCTCCTACAGTCAGTGTTGTTAAATAAAAAGACAAATGCTTTTCAAATCTGTCAATAATAAATCAGTATTATGAACAAACTTTCTCTCATCAAAAGGTAACTCCCCACTCTTGCATCCCAGGCTACACTCCTTACTTCCTTCATAGCACTTACTACCATCAATAATTACTTTGTTTCTTTAATTGTTCAATTCCTCTTTGACTGCAATGACTCTCTATACTCCCAAGAGTTCATTTCTGTCCCAATAACAGCTGCAACCCCAGCTACACAGCAAGCACCTCAAACATAACTACCAAAAAATACCTCCAGAAAATGAGGGAATTCCTTCATGTAGAGCAGAAAGACTGCCAAGCATGTCTTCCTTAACACAGTCAATGGCAATAGCCACTCATATATGCACGTATGTGTTACAAACATGCTTGCCTGTGTGCTTGCAAAAATGCAAAGATCTAAGATACAGATATATGGATATATTTGGATATAAAGATATGAGAAATGTTCTACTGAAGCCCTATTTTTTCATTAGTTTCATTTTTAAATGTATTTGTACCAATTCTGCATGGTATCCATACACAGAAACTAACAGTCCTGCTTAATTATAGAATGTCATATATAAACTTTTCTATTCTCTCTTACCAGAATCTATTCTAGCTTGTCTTCGGGCAGCACATTCTTCAATGCGAAGTTTAGGTATTCCTTCAGCTACAGCTTTGGCCATTCCACCCATTTCTTCAACCTCATGTATCAGCTAACCAAAAAAGTAAACAAAAGGGGAAGGAGGGACAAAAAGAAAACATTAGCAAAACTAAGAGATAAAAGCATTCAAACTATCCATGTATGTTATATATTCCCTAATACTATTCAAATTACAAGCTAACTCTTATTATTTTATAAGAAAATCATTAAGTAAATACAAGAGAAATATTTGGAACTTATGTGCTTAAAGCTATCTAAAAAGAAAAAAAAAAAAAAAAAAAAAAAAAAACCTTTAAAGTATATTTAGAATAACCTGAAATTTCTCAGTCAATTCTTGTAGGAAAAAGGTAATAATAGCTCCAATTCTTTAGGCTCTATTTTTGGTTACATAAATAAAGTTTTAAGGGTCCTATATGACTCTCCCATATATATATATATATGTGTGTGTGTGTGTGTGTGTGTGTGTGTGTGTGTGTGTTTATGTCATCATCAAAAACCCCAAAAAATATAAGAAAATTGTACATACAAGATATGTGTCAACACAAAAATCAGAGATTTTGATGCTTTTGGAAAGAAAGATCTAGAATAAAATAGCATGAAATTTCTGATGACAAATATTGGAGGCAACAGTGAAAACTCAGAATGAAAAGCAGACTAATATTAATAAAGTTGCTCATAGAGTTATGAATAAAAATAATTTCAAACTAACTCTGCTACAGCTCATGTGCAAAGTTCTGTGAACTTGACTGGTGTAGGGGATGGGGAATAAGGACACAATATTAAGAACAACAGATAGATATAGAACATAAACAAAGCTGAAATAAGACAGACCTTACTAAGCTCCCTCATGGAAAGATGCACCAGATGTAAGCAATGGCCAAGAAACTTGAGTTTTTTTATTATGTACAGCACAGGAAGAGGGATAAGCTAGTCTCCTTGTAAGGTCTGTACTAAGCAGCAGCCTCACACTGCAGTCAATCCAGGAAGAGGAAACTGCAGTTGCTGTTTTTGCATACACTGTCAATATCTGCCCAGGGACCAGAGAAAGACTGTGTCAGTTCTTTGGTCTGAGGCATTGACTTGACATAGCTGAGGTAAGGATTTCATCCACTCCTTACACATTCACTCTAGGCTTCCTCTGATCCTCACACTAGTCAGGAATAAGAGCAAAATGGACAAACTTTCAAACATGTGAAGTTATAAATGACTCATCTCCTAGGAAGCTTCTGTGAGAAGTGCTTCAAGATTAACAACGGGTCAATGCTTGAATGCTTGAAGACTAAGAGACGTTTATATCACATCCCTTCCCCCAAGGTTCAAGTAATCATTGTGAATGGGAAGATGGAAAGACTCTTAAGTGGCAGAGAAGGTGACTTCTGGGAAAAAAAGTTTTGCCAGCCATGACAGCCCAATTGCACACATGGACTCACAGTAGCAGACTTGGACTGCAAGTCAAAAGAGCTGCTCAAGATTAAGCCAGTGAAAATTTTAGTATGGATAGGGAAGGAGTTCGAGTTCCATCCCCATCTCAGGAGCTCTTGGCAACTGACGTCTACTAGGAGAAGGAGAGAACATTTTTATAGGGAAGAGGGTTCTGACAGTAGACAGACTCACATCTGTGGAGACAGGCAGCACAAAATGGACTTAGTATGTATTTTTTTAAGAGAGTTTACATATAGTTAGAAGGGAAAAGTAGATAAGGGAAGTGTGTTGTTTTTATTTCTTATGAAAGCCATACCCACGCTTGAGGAATACATGGCTTGCTTGGGCTGAGCCCTGAGCATTTCTATCTAACTATCCCTTGGCCTTGGCCTGGAAGCTTCTAGCCTCCTTATCCTCAATCTAATGTTCTTCAAAATTAAAGGCTTCAGCTTCCAGCCTTCATCTGCTAACCTAGGCCTAGAATGTTTACAGCCTTCAAGATTTACTGCTGAATAAGCTAACACTTTCTAGTTCTTTCTAAACTCTGGCTTTTAAGTTCAACTCAGCTGTTCTGGCTCAAAACTCCTATCCAAGCTGACTGATTCAAACTGGCTTCTCTCCACTTCTCACTGAATTGTTCTACATGGAAAAACTGCCTCTGAACTCTACAAACTTAACTGTACTGAAATGTACAGAACCGTACTATATTCCCAAACTGTACTGTATTGTCTTCATGAACTCTTCTGTATTACTGTACTGTACTCTCCCATTGTACTATACTGTCTGTCCTCTAGAGTTGGGCATATACTATCTCTGACTCATTCTGTCAAATCTTTCACTTTGCCCTTCAATTAGATATCATTGTTTGGGATTAAAGGTGTGTACTAAATTCCAGCAAGAGGGATTAAAGGTTTATCATGTCTGTATTCCTGTTAGATGGATTAAAGGTGTGTTTTCCAGCCAAAGGGATTAAAGGTGTACAATAAGAAAGTGTCTATATTCACAGTGACCTAGAACTTTAAATGTTATCCCGTGCTAGAGTAGCCATGTTGCTGGATTATAATTCCTCTACAGAGAAGAATTCAAACAGAAAGAAAAGGGAGTGGATTTGACCAACAGATTCCATGCATGTCTGAATATTAAATAGTTTTTCAAAAAGAGCTTTCTATTCCCCAAATATCAGAAAACCTAGAGAGAAACTAGTTCAAATCAAATAAGAATAAAAGAATACTACAGAAATGGAGAAGCTGAGATATAATTATATTGGTAGGAAGGGGACTAGTAGGAAGGTGGAAAGGAAAGATGGGGTATTAATCAGCTGAAATACTAAACACTACTCAACCAGGAAAGCAGCACACAGTATGCCTAAAGCTTTGTGCCTAATACTTAAATTCAACAAAATCAGAAGAAACAGGATGTGTTTGACTTAAAACACACAGATAATTAAAAACAACAACAAAAACCTGTGTAGCTTACTCCAGTGAATAGAAAATAAGAACTGGAAGAGTGCTTCCTCTCCCTCTTTCTCTCTCTCTCTCTCTCTCTCTCTGTGTCTATCTGTCTGTGTCTATGCATCTATGTAAGTATATGTACTTTTTAATAGTAGCTATCTTTTAATCATGAAATACAATCATAGAAAAAGAAATATATTTTTAAATTATGTTTCAGTAGTGAAGACTATAGTCAACAATAAATTTCTCTTTTCTCATATACATTTTATAGTTTTAGTATAAATCTAAAAATGATTATTTATAAATTAAAAAATATAAAAATTGAAGTTGTAAAGAAGAGAAACTGACCTTCAGAGCAGCTTCATAAACATCATTTGTGAGAGATTCCATCATGTATGATCCTCCCCAAGGATCAGCCACTTTGGGAATCCCAGATTCTTCTTGAATGATGATTTGTGTATTTCGGGCAATTCGAGCACTTTTCACAGTTGGCAAACCCAGAGCTTCATCAAAAGAATTCGTATGCAAAGACTGTGTTCCTCCAAACACAGCTGCCATTGCTTCGACTGCAGTGCGGACAATGTTATTGTAAGGATCCTAAATCATTTGACCAAAAATTCCAAATCAAAACAAAGAAAAAGGCTCATCAACAGTGGAACTATAAGACACATTATTTTTAAGCAACAACTATATAAACTACCCCAATGTCAAAAGCAGTTTGGGAATGGATTTGACATCAGATGTCAGCATAGCAAATAAACTCAGGGAAATTAGTCAGTAAGCTAGAAAAGAATTTGGAGCCAAGGAGTCCAGGTTTAGGCATAAAAACATTGTCTCATACACTCCACAGATATATCAAACACATTTACACTGTTTAAATACTGTTCCATAAGTATATCATCAAGTATAGTTTTTCTTGGATTACAGGAATTTTTCTTTCCTAATTTACTATCTCCTAATTATTTTGCATACCTCAGAATGTCTCCTGGCAAGGATGTGTACTCAATAAATAATTAATTAAATGTAACCTCTTAGGCAGGAAATTGGACTCCACTTTATTATATTCTAACTGTGATGTTGGCCAGTTACTGGACTTTCATAGATTTCTTTTTTAAGTGTAAAAATCGGTATACTAAAATATAATTATAAAAGTTCCTTCCAGCCTGAGAATATATACATGTCCAGTCATAAAGAACCTGTTCATTGTTATTCAGTATTAAAAGTAGAAAAGATATACAACTTAAAATCACAGTAAAGTAAACATATAAAATGAATGTGTACAGAAACAAGACTACTGCTACACAATTTTAGTGGAATAAAATTAAACTATTCAAATGATAATAGTCTTTAAATACCTGTGTGCTTGCTTAAAACACAATATGTGTGTTTTTGTGTGTGTAAAATAAAACGTTAAAGAGGTAGTTTTATGCTAAGATCTCTATCTCTTAAAATCATTATAATATGGTTTTTATTTCTTCTTCATCAGTAAATAATTTTCTACTGGATTAGCACAGTAAATCCCAAGAATTGACAAATGAGATTTCACGAAATTAAAATGCTTCTGTATAACAAAGAAACAATCAGCAGAGTGAGAAGCCTGGCTACAGAATGGGTACATTAAAAAGTCTGCCAACTACACACCAAATGGGAGATTAACACCTAAGATATACAAAAAAAAACTGCAAAAATTGGGCTCCCAAATCCAAACCATTGAACCAACAAACGGGCTAATGAACAGGGTAGATCTCAAAAGAAGAAATAAAAATAGCAGATAAACAGCTTTAGCCATCAGGGAAGTACATATGAAAACTGCTTTAAAATTCCATTTCATATGGAGCCTGAACCAGCCAATAAAACCAAAATAAAGCCAAAAATTAGGAAGAGCTTGGTGAATCCTGCAGAAAGGGGGAGGAAGAATTATAGGAGCCAGAGGGGTCAAGGACACCACAAGAACATGGCTGACAGAATCAACTAACCTGGGCTCATAGGGGCTCACAGAGACTGACACATAGAGCCTGCATGGGTCTGACCGAGGATATGTTATAGTTGTGCTGCAGCTTGGTATTCTTGTGAGACTCCTCACCGAGGAATGGTAGCTGTCTCAAGACTCTTTTGACTGCTTTGGAGACCCTTTTCCTCCTACTGGGTGGCCTCATCCAGCCTTGATGTGAGGTTATGTGCCTAGTCAATGCCATGTTTGGTTGGTATCCCTAAGAGACCTGCTCTTTTCTGACAGTAAATGGAGGAGTGGATCTGGGGGGGAAGAGAAGGTGAGAACAATGGACTGGGAGGAGAGGAACAGGGAGAAACTGTGGTCAGGATGTAATATATGAGAGAAGAATAAATTATTAAGAAAAAACAAAACAGATTCCATTTCATCCAAGTCAGAATGGCTATCATCATGAACACAAACGATACAAGCTGTGGTAGTGCGTGCCTTTAATCCTAACACCCGGAAAGCAAGGAAAGGCAAGCAGTGGACAGCCTAGTCTACATAATGAGTTCCAGAACAGCCAGTGGTGTACAGTAGGACCTTGGATCAGAAGGAAATAAAGATAGATAGATAGATAGATAGATAGATAGATAGATAGATAGATAGATAGATAGATGATAGATAGATAGATAGATGATAGATAGATAGATAAAGATTGAAAGAAGAAAAGGAAGGAGAAAAGACAAGAAAACAAATGTTAGCAAAGAAGTGAAGAGGAGCCCTTAGTCACCATTGATGAAAGCGTGAAGTGTTGTGTAGCCACTATAGGTATCAATGTGCCATTTCTAAGAGTCCTGGAAGTAGCATTACCATATGTTCCAGCAATATGGTTCTTGAGTTTACACCCACAGGACTCTAAATCAGCATAGCAGAGACACTTACACATCCATATTTATTGATTCTCTAGTCACAATCGTTATAAAATGCAATCAGCTTAGATCTATATAAACATATGAAAACAGAATGTAAGAAATAAAAATAGAATCCTACCCAGCTGTAAAGAAAATGAAATCATGACTTGCAGGGAAACAGGTGTAGCAAAATAAGCAAAACAATCCAGATGCAGGACAAGTATCTTGTGTTTCCCTCTTATCCACAAAACCAAGATTTAAAACATATATGTGTGCATTTACAAGTGTATTTGCAGACCACAAAACTAAAAGAGGGCCATGCATGAAAAGAGAGGAAGGTCTCTATGGTTGGTGAGCAACAGAGAGGAGACATATAAAAACCAAATATGTGTGATATAAAAGTTGAACGGGGGACTGTCTAGGAAAAGAAAGGGAACCAGTGGGAAAGAGAGTGGTGAGGGGGAGGGGAACAAAGAAAACAAAGTATGAAGATGACACAATAAAACAGACCTGCTACTCTGTATGCTAACCCAAAACACTAAAATGCAGGATTGTGCACAAGGCAAGATAGTAATGATTTTAGCGTTAGCCACCAGAGGGAGCTAAGTCTATTCAATACGTGTGAACTCAAAACCTAAGCGTGCATTTATGCTTCACGATATTTATGACTTTTAGGTATTAGCAAACAGGCTGCTGACTATGGTTCCTGGCTGCACCTCTTGCCTAGAAGGAAATGATCATTTTCTTTACTTAAGTTCTCTAGTTTCAGCTAGATACATACCTGCTCAGTGAGTGACCACCCTGATGTCTGACAATGTGCTCGTAGAAGAAGAGATTTAGAGTTTTTAGGTTGGAACATTTTTTCTATTAAGTGAGCCCAGAGTCTCCTCCCAGCTCGCATCTTTGCTATTTCCATGTAGAAGTTCATCCCAATTCCCCAAAAGAAAGACAACCTAAAAAAGCAAAGCCCAGAGCACACTGAAATTTTAAAATACAAATCAGAAAGTAAACTAATTGCATCACATACTAGGGAAAAAGAAAGTATGTGCAGATTTGAGAATTACACAATATAAGTTTACTTAAAAGCAACACACGTTTCTAAGTAACTGTAGGCTTAACACAGAAATGGCTGTGCATATCTGCTTTTGCAAAGAATATTTTACCTCACAAGTAAGTTTCTTTTGAAAAGACTTTCCTCTGGTGTGCTGAGATAAGAACAGGTTCTCAGGCTGGGGATGTGGCTTTCTGGTACTTATGAGGCACGAACTAGAAGCTGAGCTCCATGCCAGTGGCACAGAAACAAACAACCTTTTATTTTCCCAGTGCTGAGATGAACCTAGGACCTTACACTTGCCAGGCATATGCTTCCACTATTCAGCTACATGTCCAGTTCAAGATCCATTTCTTTAACAAGGAAAAAAACAAAACAGGAATGCCAACTTTGCAATATGGGAGTTGTGACAGAAAGCACAGAATCACAGGCTTGCTTGGGTAGCACAGGGTTGCTTTTGTGTGTGTTTTAAGACGATTGAGCACTGAGTTTAGTCATTCTCCTCTAATTTGTCCCTAGCCTAACTATTCCCTTTTATCACACAAACTATAGTGGATTAAACTGATTTACATATTTAGATTACTGATTTGCCTCTTACAGCCAGAAGGTTGTAAAATCTCATAGAAAGCAAATGAGGTTTAAGATTCCACAGTTTAGAAAAACCAATGTATTCAAGCATGGAGGGCCTAGGATCTATGTTCATTCTTAAAATCTGTGCAGAATGTGAAGAATTTTTCCCTATTTCAATATATTTATCTAATTTTTTCCATTGATAACATCTTATAAAGAGTAACATTCCTCTATGAATAAAAACTTATCATAAAAGAAGTATTTTTTTATTTTAAAATATTTTTACTAGAAGGGTGTCTGTTTCATGTTCCTGTGTGTGCATATGTGTGTAGAGGCCAAAGGACAGCTCAAAGTGTGTTTCTGAGGAATCTTTTTCTTTTTTTTTTTTTTTTTTTTTTGCTTGTCTTTATTTTTGTGATGGGACCAATTACTGATACAGAACTCATAAATGAGCTGAGATAGCTGGTCAGTGAGCCCCAGGAACCTGCCTGTGCCTTCTCAGCACTGGGATTACAAGCACGCCTCTATCTTTGAAACATGGGTTGTAGGGACTGAACTCAGATCCTCTGCAAGTTTTACATTTTTTCAAATCTCTTTAATGTGCATCTTAAAACCTTATATATGTTCAGTCTACTTGAATATAACACACCATGTAACTTTAGAAAAACACACAAACTCCAGGGGAAATGAAAATTTAAATGGAAAGCAAAGTATTAAAATACTCGGGAAGAGTGTAGACCTTGAAGATCTACATAATTCCCAGGAGTAACTGGGCCACATTTTGGAAGCTGCTATGATAAGTGTACAATATCTCAGAATAAATAAACCATCACTAACCATATTTTGCATATTTGAATTGAGAGCACATAGGTGAGTCTAGCTTCAGGGACAAGCTCGCCAAGAATTGCTGATCTGAATGAAACCTGGATTGATTTTTGACCAATTTAAATATTTCATAAACTTCATTTAAATGTTTCTATATTCTTTCATCCAACTTTATTAACAATTCATTTTGAGACAATATAGTTTATAGTATTTTGCATCCTAAAACATTTATGCATTACAGAAAAAAAAGAGGTGATTTCTATGTGTTTAAATGAAAAAAAATTAAAGTAACTTAATTTTATGTTTATATCTTAATATAGCTCCCATGTATGTGATGATGTGTTCTGTAAATCCCCAGAAACATGGCATTACTACAATTAACAGAGAATTATGGTCAAATTAAATTGATTTTTTTTTTTTTTTTTTTTTTTGGCTCTAGACAATAGTATCTTATTTTCTTTGTATCACTTAGAAAACTATAAGACAATTTAAATCTATCATGGCATTTATCTCTACAAGTTTATTTTATCAGTATATTTTGCTGTACAAGTGGAAAATGGTTCTATGCATGTCTTTAATGGAGAAAAGATTCATTAAGTTTAATCAACTGACCTTGGTGCAAATTCATCAATTGTGAGACCAGCTTGGAGTCCGGTTCTGCAGTACTCCAAGCCATCCGCGATGGTATAGGCCAGTTCTAGAATCGCATCAGCTCCTGCTTCCTGCATATGGTACCCACTAATCGAAATGGAATTAAATTTTGGCATGTGCTACATAAAATAATAAAAACAGCAAAGAATAAAATATAAAAAGGTTTTGTTAAACTTATTTTATAAAAGTAATTATCTTTAAATGATGTTCAATTTCAGATAAACTTGGTAGTTTATAATCTTAACTGAAAGAAAGACTAATTTGTTATATTAAATTCACTCCAAATTTAAATGACTGACCTATAAAGCATCTTCAAGATGCTATGTCTGTTTTTTCCACTAGAAAATAGCTGCATCAGTTATCCTTTCAGCTAGCTAAGACTTTACAAAGACCTTATAATTTTGCCTGATATGTTGAAGATGCATAAATTTCATATTACTTACATTATTTTCTAATTTGAATGAAGGTATCTAATATGAATAAGTACACAATGAACAAAAGTGGTTTGATATTAGTGTTATATTTTGAAGCAAAACAGGAAAAAAAATTAATGATTTCAGTTTGATTTACTGTGATAGTTAATGCAAAGCATATTCCAGGTTCTTTCTTCTGTGACCACTAGGAACACCACATACCATTATTTTCTAACATTTTACGTTTGTCAAGAACCTGACTGAATATATTCTGGAGCATCAAAGAGCTATCATGCTATTTGGGTGAACTAAACATAAAAAATTTCGAAACATGGGCTCGATGTCAGAGGACTCAAATTTTAACCATGATATTTAACCTTAACTGGTAAGTCTCTCAACTTTGCTAATTCATTGATTTCCTACAACATAGAGGTAATAATTATATCGTGTATTATTTTAAGAGTAAAGTGATTCATCTATATCAGACACTAAGCACTTTAAAAAATTAGCTGGCATTATTTATATACGGTATAAAATAAATATACCAATTTTTATATATCGTGCATATGTATATTCATATAGCATATATATAGTTCTATATTTTACATTCTCAAGTATTTATAACTCAAACCTTGTGGAAAATGCTTTATAACAAAATCAGAAAGGGGATAGAATCACATAGAATTGAGAAAAATGACTGTATTTTGGAATTTACACACAAATCCAAGAAACAGGGGCCTTGCTGTACAGAGGAGTATACTTATAGACTTTTAAAATAATAGAAATAAAAGCATAATAGAATATTATTCAACCTTAAAAAGGAAAGAAATTTTGGTATGTTATAAAATGGACAAATGCGGGTGATATTATATTAAATGAAATGGGCCTACCCAAAAAAGAAATACTGAATGATCCTACTCATATGAGCAATCTGCAGTATTCAAATTTACAAATGTTTATAGCAATACAATGGCTTTATCCCAGAGCAGGAATGGAGGGGAGAATGGGATTTTCTGTTGAACAGACAGTTTCAGTTCTGCAAAATTAAGGATAAAGGCAGGTGTTGGTAACGGCTGAAGACAATTACTACAAAAGACAGAAACGTTAAAAGATAACAAGGTGGGCTGACAATGTAACTTACTCAGTCTCAGTTATGAAATTCAAGGTAACTTGTAGCACTTCGTGAAGATCCCTACAAATGATTACAGTAAATCTGTAGAGAGAAAACATACCTGTGCTGTGTATTCGAAAATGTCAGCAATAATTTTCATGGATGGTTCTGGGGGAAAGATATATGTATTTCTGACCATAAACTCCTTTAGGATATCATTCTGAATTGTACCAGTGAGCTTCTCTTTCGGACAACCTTGTTCTTCCCCAGTTACTATAAAATTCGCAAGGATTGGGATAACTGCTCCATTCATGGTCATGGAAACGGACATTTTTTCTAAAGGAATTCCATCAAATAGGATTTTGGTGTCTTCTACAGTGTCAATAGCAACTCCCGCCATTCCAACATCTCCACGAACTCGAGGGTTGTCTGAATCGTAACCACGATGTGTGGCCAGGTCAAAGGCAACAGACAACCCCTGCTGACCAGCTAAGAACATAAAGAAAAACGTGAGTATGTTAGATTCTCAGACTGTAGTAACTGGAAGCAGATGGATCTCATCACAGTATGCTTATCAGCATATATCCATGCTCATGTGAAACAAATTTTTAGAACATTTGACTTCCTAAGAATCAGCTGTTTCTAGAAGGCTAAGACACAAACTGAGCTGCTAGAGCTGTAAGAAATAAGAGAAGCAACAGAATATCAAATCTCATACTAGCCCAGGGATTATTTAAATTCATGCATCAAATAATTTTTGTGGTTGTTTTCATTAAGTTTTTTTATTGAGATATTTTCAAAATTCATGAAAATATCTAGCTGATCACATATTCTTAATACAACTTAGCATGCATATGTTTTTTTTTACCATTTTTAAAATTCTTTACCATCATAACATAATCAAATATTGTTGGAATAGAATTTTAGAAATTATTTTCATCACCAAAAGATTTTAATAGAACTAGGAATTAAATTCAAGGCCTTCTACACACTAAGAAATGCACTACCACTCAGCTAAGTGTGCAGCCCCATGCAAATTTTTCACATAACTAAAATAGCCTATACTAAATATGATTTCAATTCCTCCCTAAGCAACATAATCCTAGAATTTTTAAAGTTTAGCATTCAAACAGTAAGATTTTATTATACATTAGAAAGAAAATCATAGATATAATTTTCTAATGAAAATTTCTTATTTCTTACTAGTGCATTTGGCATCATTTAAGCTCTCCTACCAATTCTTATTTCACCAAAGCTAATTAAAAGCTTTCTGAAGACGATCTCCATCTCACTTTTCTTCATCTCATTTCTTTTCTACCATGTATATAGAAGTGTGATTTATCTCCAAGAATTTTACACTCTCTGAGGCATCTTTTTGATCACACAGAAGTTAAAAAGCACTCGTTTCACAGTAAATTTAAGCACACAACATCATGTTCGCAGAAAGGAATTAGTGCTTCATGTCATCGTAAGCATCATGACTCCCATTAAAATCTTACCCTTAATATTGTCCTTATAGAATTTATTGCTTTCTTCCACAGTACTAAAGCCTGCATACTGACGGATGGTCCATGGCCTATAGGTATACATGGTAGGATACGGTCCTCGTGTGAATGGCTTCACTCCTGGAAGTTCTTCAGGTAAGTCCATTGTGTCTGCCCTGGAATATAAGGGCTTTATAGAGATCCCTTCTGGGGTACGCCATATGAGGTCCTCTGGGTTTTTGCCTTTCAGCTGCTTTTTGGCCAGTACAGCCCATTCTGGGTGAAGGGGTTTCTGCTGATGCAGGAGCCGTTTCCACGTGGAGGATGATGGATCTTTTAGCTGCTTTAGATAGTGGGGTGATAACAAAAAAAGCTGATTCTTAGCTCTCAACATGGTGAAGCATGGATACTCCCAAAAGGAAATGAGAACTGACCTAGAAAAATTTAGAAAAACAATAGGCATACATTCAAAAGTGTGAAGAAAATCAGGAGCTTTCGATGGATGAGTAGGGGGGAAAGTTGCAATATTGGTCCTGTTTCAGCTTTCGTCCCTTTTCTGCTCTTGCACATGATAGTACGCCATTGATCTTTATAATTACTGTTGTTCTGGGTAAGTCTTCTTACTCCAAAGCCTCTGAGCTAGCAGTACCAAGCAGTCTTAGTCCCTCCAACCCATTCTACACTGATAAAATGCTAATATGACTGTATCGTACTCCCACAAAATTTGTCAACGGTTATATAATGTGGTAGATGTAACACAGTATTTCAATTAATTTTCATTCAAAACCTAATTATAGATCATTTAGTTTATGGTAGACATTACATTGGTGTGTGGAGAAAAAGTGCAGCAAACAGGACTTGCAGGCACCAAAGACATCCATGACCTATTCTCTCTGTAGCTGTCAAACTTATGTCTGTCTTTGTCATGTATACATTTTATATACTAGAAACACTTAAAATCTCATGGTTTACTGCTGCACTTGCCACATATTTACCCACAGAAAAGCAGTGATTTGCCTCTATTACTTGATACTTAAGTGTCACACAGCTTCAACATAATAGTTTTAAAAAGAAAATCAGACATAAATTTCTTTAATATAGTTGTCTCACCCCTTCTACAATGAAAGATAAAACAAGACATTCTCTGCTGTTTTATCTGTCGCCCTAGAAACATTACAAATATCTACAGTTAGAATAAGTGCATTACTACATACTAAAATATAGAATTTAATGGAATTATTATATTTCGTATCAGAATTTTACAGCTAACAGAGAAAAGGAGGAGGAAAAAAAAGGAGTAGGAGAAGAAGCAGCAGCAGCAGCTCCATGTTTAAGAACACTGTCTACTCTACCTAAGGTCCTGAATTCAATTCCCTGCAATCAAATGCTGGTTCACAACCATCTATAGGATCTGATGCCCAATTCTAGCATCCAGACAAACATGCAGATAGAACACCATTTACACTAAATAAATAAATAAATATCTTTAAAAAAAAAAAAAAAGGAAGCTTTTAGGGTACTGTGTGATCCAGACATAAATTATGTTGATGTTATATAACTTTATGATTATATTACGTTTGTGGAGATTATTACTCTGTGCAATTACCATTGTGTGTGCTTTCTCTAAGTATTTTTCATTAATTTAAAAGTTAGTTGAGTAGCCGGGCATGGCGATGCATGCCTTTAATCCAAGCACTCAGTGAGGCTGAGGCAGGCAATCTCTGTGAGTTATCAGGCCGGCCTGTTCTACAAAGTGAGTCCAGAACAGCCAATGGCCAAGGCTACACAGAGAAACCTTGTCTCAACGCCCCCTCCCAAAAAAAAAAAAAAAAAGGTTGAGCATAGTTTCTATTAATGGCACCAGGTTCAAATAAATACGAGTTGGAATACATCCCTGTAAATGTAATATACTCAACTAGGTTTTTTTTTTAAGTTACAGAACAGAATATAAACATAACTACAACAAAAACAATACCCATTTTTTAAAGCTTTTGTAATTTTTCACCTATTAAATTCAAGAGAGTTGCTATCCATTTTTATTTCAAGCCACTTAGATTTGGCAGGCCTAAAAAGGGAACAATATACAATAAGCTTACAACTTCACTCCTGCTGTGATGCATAACATTAAAAGGAATTTGAAAAATGAAACTAGATTAAATACAGGAAGCATACCCATTTCCAACAAAATTTTAATCAATCTTTTTTCACTCTGAACAAATGATAAAATCAATCTTTTTTCACTCTGAACAAATGATAAAACAGGGTTCCATCTAGGACAGATTTCCTGAAAAGTCAAAGCCAAATTAGTGAAAGCTGAAACAGCACTTGAAAATAACAATACTATCCAGGCATAGTGCCTTTGAAACAAGCACTTAGAAGGCAGAGAGGCAGTTGGATCTCCGTGAATTCAAGTCAAGCCATGAATTCAAGCCTGGTCTACATGGGGAGTTTCAGTACAGTCAGAGCTACATAGTAAAACTCTATCTCAAATACATACACACATGTATACACACATCACGTAACATTACTGTTAATGGTAACAGGACTTCTACAGTTTCTTTGAACAGCCATTAAAAAATAAAAGCTTCAAGCATTCAAAGAAGCAATATCTAAGTTTGTTAAAGATTAGATGTGTTAACGTAAAGTAATGAAGGCCATCCTCACATCTCCAGAAAAAAAGTAATTTAAGACTGAGAACCTTTAATCTCAGTGCTCTTGGGAGACAGAGGCAAATGAATTTCTAAGTTTTAGGCCAAGTTCTACAGCAAGTGTTCCAGGACAACCAGAATTACACGAGAAAATCTTTCCAAAAACCAAGTTAAAAAATATTTGGAAACAAAAATAAGTCTTAAGTCTGTTTACACATGGCTCCAAGGTAACATTCTGGAATGGCTAACCCCTCCCACTGTTCGATATGCAGAGGTTATGACTACAAAGAGCGTTACAGTTATTAAGACAAAGGAACTTTTAGCCTAAAGCCGTGGGCTGGGAATCTTTTCGCAAACCTCTACCGCCAAAAATATTCCCTTTACGATTCATAAAAAATAGCAAAATTAGTTATGAAGTGGCAAGGAAATAATTGTTATGGTTGGGGGCGGGGTCAACACAACATACAAGGTATTGAAGAGTTAGGAACATTAGGAAGTTTGAGAACTAAAGGCCAAGGAATCATTAAACACAAAACTATATTGGAAGAAAACCAGCAAGTGGCTTAAAAATCACACACCCACGTGTCACTTTCTGAACGGCAAAGCTGAGACGTTAGAAATTCCTATTTTGGGGTCAGATTACGCCCGCTTTTCCTTTTTCATCTCTTCCTCCTGTCGCGGTTTTTGTCCCACCACCTCTAGCAAAAGCACCCTAGAAACAACCTGAGCCTCCAGTAAGCGTGGGTCCAGCGCACCTCTACCTAACTACCGTGACCTCTGCCCTGCGCCTGCGTGGAAAGCCAGGGAAGATGCCACGAGGCTGCCGCGCTGTGGCACAGCGCTCTGCACCCGCAAGCCAACGGCCTCACGAAAACGTGAATTCGGCTGAAGTGAACACCCGAACTTCAGGAACCAGCAAGCGGCTAAGAGAGGAGGGCAGAGAGGTGGGAGCGCAAAGATGAACGAACCCAGGAAGGGAGAGACTTGCGAGACCTGCTCCACAGCACACAGGCCTACGCACAGGCCGCGCCCCGATCCCAGAGCGGAACCCGGATCCCCCGCGGGTCACTCAGGTGCTCCCACTCGCGGACCAGTCTAAGCAGGGGGCGTAGCCGACTCCGCCCTCGGACCGGCCAATCCAACCCCGCCGGGCGTCGCGGGCGCGCTTCTGATGACGTAGGACACGCCGGGAGCGGCCTCCTGCTAAGAGTGTCAGTTTTCCAAACAGCTACTTCCGGTTCCCGGGTCTTGGTAGTTGTTTTTCTTTTCTCTTCCGGCTGTTCGGGCGCGGAAAGACTAAGGCGCGGATTTTGAAGAGACAGGGAAGAGCCGAGGAAGCGTTTAGGCGGCTGACGGATCCAGAAGGGGATGAAACCACACGCGTTGTGGTAAACTCTGTTGGTACTTTTAGGGTTAGCTTTTGTGGGTTTGTTTCATTTATTTATTTTTTTTTTTTTGACGGGCAATGTGTAATGTCCGACTAGGTCTCTGCCACCTTGGGGAGCGGCTTGAGATACTGGATTCTCCAGGGAGGAGTGAAAACATCCATCCCCCAGTTCATATTCCTCCTGACCCTCCGGGTTTCTCGTTCTTGGAGCTCTGTATAACCCGTCCGGGAGCGACCGACTCTCGCCAAAGTTCGTTCTAGTTTGTGGTTCACAGATAAAGGCTTAAATTGAGATAAATCAGCTTAACTAGTGTCAACAGACCAGCAAAGAAAACCAACAACCAAAAAAAAAAAAAAAAAAAAAAAAAGGTGCCTCGCTCCTTTTTTACACTCCTCCCATAAATATCCATGTCTAAAAGGATTTGAAGCAAAGCAAACCACTGTTCTTTGAGCTATCATACAACTTATGCTGATTTCATTTAAGTACTTTCTTTTTCCTAGCTAATATTCCAAAGATATCCCCACACCTGCCCACAATTCAGTTTGATTGCATTTAGTTTATCTTACATAGTAATTGTTTTTATATCTGTGTCTATCAACCCACAATTTTTTAATTTTTATTTTACTTTTATTAATTACAGTTTATTCACTTTGTATCCCAGCTGTAGCCCCTTCACCATCCCCTCCCAATCCCACCCTCTCTCCCTCTTCTTCTCCTATACTACTCCCCCAGTCCAATGATAGGGGAGGTCCTCCTCCCCTTCCATCTGAAACTAATCTATCAGGCCTCATCAGAACTGGCTTCATTGTCTTCCTCTGTGGACCGTTAAGGCTGCTCCCCTCTCAGGCTGAGATGATGAAAGAGCCAGCCTATAATCATATCAGAGACGGTCCCTGGTCCTATTTATTCGATAACCCCCTTGGACATTTTGCTGCCATGGGCTACTTCTGTACAGGGGTTCTAAGTTATCTCCATGCACCGTCCTTGTTTTCAACCCACTATTAAGCTGTGATTTCCTAGGTATCTGGGAACAGTAAGGAATTCTCTCTTTCTTCCTTCCTTTTTTTTCCTTTTTAATTTATACTGAAATTGTCCCAGCGGGATAGAAACCATGACTCGTGTTTATATTCTTACAATGTCTGTCTCATGGACTGATCTAGGAGTTTTATGTATCCTGTAATTCCATTTCAGCATTGCAGATACCTGATATTGGTGCTATTTAATCAGTGGGAAATTGAGTAGGGTTAGAGCCTTAAGGACTGTACATGTCAAAGTAAAGAGTGTTATACATATTAAGTGAATATTTAATGTATTTTGTTCTGAAGTTTAGGATTGTAAATGACTTAGTAGGCCTGACTATATGGTTGAAGATACATTGGCTCAGGCACATGCACCCAACTGGCAAAGTGGTTCTGAGAGCTTAGAGTTAGAGCTTAGAGCCAAGAGTTCAGTTGCTCTTCATGTTGACCTTTCTCTTGGTGACTGGGTTCCAAGAGCAGCTGTTTCAGAGCACAAGAAAGTAGACACTGCAGATGTCTTTCTGTTTAAGCAATGTGCCAGAACAGAATCACTTCTCTCGCATTGTACTTTTCAAGCAGCTGCAGATTCTACTGTGATATAACAGATTGGCATTGACCCTATATTCCTGTAACAGTAGTGAGAAAGAATTCATACCATTTTAAACTAAAGATCTCAGCCTGCAATTTCCCTCTCACATAGATGCTCTTTTAGTGAACATGAACTGCTTTAATGTCAGTTCTGGGAGAGGTTCACAAGTAAACATGACTCAGTGTGAGTTGGTGTTTGAGTAGAAGTCATTGAGTTGTGCGATTTGGTATTTTTTTAACTGAAAGAAGTTAAAAAAGTAAGACTGGGCATTGAGTAATGTGCTACATTACTCGATCTTTTTAAAAGACTCGACACTTGCTGTTCTTCAGAGGACCCAGGCTTAACTCCCAACACACACATGCTAGCTTACAACCATCTCTAACTGGTTCCAGAGGATCTGTATTCTCTGGCCTCTAGGACCACCAGGCATGCTTATGGTTCACAGGCTGCATGCAGGTAAAGCACTTAGCCATAAAAATAAATAAAAGTTAAAAGCAATAAATCTGTAGAGTTTAGAAAGAAAATGGTGACAAATTTAGTAGATATATGTATGAATTAAAACAAATAATGTATATATATACTTTTTTAAACTATACTTAATTTATAACCTATCCACTCATAAAATTCAGAAATACGTAACTCATTCCTCTTTTTTCTTTTTTTTTTTATTATAAAGATCTACTAGAGAAAAGAAATTATTGTAAATGTTAAGACTGCTACCTCCATCATCATCCCCATATCTGTTTTGTAACTTCACAAGAGCACCAAGTAATCAGCATGCTTCTGTAACCTTATCACAATTCACATAGTCCCTATAGGCACAACCTAACTCCTCATGAGGAGCAGTCTTTCACATTACTATTCACAGTGTGGGATGATAATACAAGCCTAAAGCTTTTCTTTTTTCATCTTTGCCATAAATTGAGTTATGGTGAATCTATTACTTAAAATCCAATAATGTTCTAAACTGACATGGCCTGTGTCCATTTTATATGTTCTCCTTGTGAATTTAAACATTGAGATGATATTGCATATAGGAGTATAAAAATTCAAAAGCATCTTTAAAATGATTTTTCTGAAACCATGCAAGTGCTAGCCATTTTAAAGAGTGAAAATAAATTACGATTCTTTTACTAATGAGAGCCACAGGAGTTCTTTTTGCTATTGTTTTTATTTTTGTTTGTTTTCTTACATAGAAAGTTAAATATTTTATGTGCATTGGTGTTCTACCTGAATGTATGTGTGAGGGTGTCAGATACCCTGGAACTACAATTAAAGACAGTTGTGAGCTGCTATGTGGGTGCTAGGAATTGAACCCAGGTCATCTAGGAAGAGCAGTCAGTGCTCTTAACTGCTGAGCCATCTCTCCAGCTCCCAAGAGCCGAAGGTTTTTATTTGTTTGCTTGAGATAAGGTCTCATTTATCTTGTCAAAGGCCTGCCTCAAACTCACTCTGTAACTGAAGATGGTCTTAAACTTACAGTCTTCCTGATTCTACTCCTGAGTGCTGAAATTACAGACATGCCCACCAAGCTAGATGTACAATGTGCTGTAGGTTTTATGCATTTTAGATAAGCCTTCGACCAACTGAACTACATCTCCAGCCCCAAGGTTATTTTTTTAACATAATTAAATGTTTTTAAAACATAAGATGTTTTCCCAAATTCTGAAAGCCTAGTTTAGAATAATTAAAATGTAATATTTTTGGCTTGCTCTGGCAGCTGATATGACCAGATTCAGAAACTCACAGCCAAATATCAGGTGGAGCTTGGAGAACCCTCAGAAGAGTAGGGGAGGAAGGATAGTAGGAGCCAGAGGGGTCAAGAACACCAGATGAACATGTTCCACCGAATCAACTAAGCAGGGCTCATAGAGCCTCCCAGGGACTGAAGCAGCAATCACAGAGCCTTCATGAGTCTAGGTCTTCTGCATATATATTATGGTTGTTAAGCTTGGTGTTTTTGTGGAACTCCTAAAAGTGGGAGTAGAGCTATTTCTGGCTCTTTTGCTTGCTCTTGGGACCCTTTTTCTCCTACTAGGTTGCCTCAGTCGCCTTCATATGAGGGTTTGTGCCTACTCTTATTACATCCTGTGCTACCATGTTCAGTTCATATCACTGGGAGGCCTACTCAGTTGTGATGTGAAACAGGATGAGTGGATGGGGGAGAGGGGCCTGGAGATGGCAACTTGGAAGAATGGGAGAAGAAACCACAGTTGGCATGTATTGTATGAGAGAAGAATGAATAAAATATTTTTAAATGCAGTCTTTCAACAAAAAATTGTACAAGCCTTTATCGTTTTTCTCTATTTTTTTCACCATTGTAGACTATGTATCATTGTAATTGGTTTAGATCGAGATGTCTGGTAAAGCAAATTATTCTAAGAAAAAATCTCAACAATTAAAAAGAAATTCAAAACAAAGAGCTGATAAGGAAGTGGATTTGCCAGAGAATGAGGTAATGAAATATCAAATGTATTATTTAGCTCTCTTTGATTAGAAATATAATCTGCTTCCTTAAAAAGGCTAAAAGTCAGTTTTACCACAAATTGTAATTCATATTATATACATTAGTGCATTCTTTGCTTGGAGTATATATTATAAAATGTGTTGCAAAGGCATCTCTGTTTTTTGTATGGCTCTAGGTTGGAAACACAGCAAAAAGGAATAAAAGTCATTCAGCACGTCGATCCTCTAAAGGTATTATTCTTATATGTCTTGTTTAAAATGTCTTCTACTGATTTTCATGACAAAATTTTCAGGATCTTGGTTATAAGTTCTTCAATAGTAATAGGTGGTTATAAGCAGCCACAGCCTCAGTATTTAATTCTTCTAGCAAATATATAGAGATTTATCTGCCACGTTGAAAGGAACCAGAAGGCAATCATTGTCCCCAACTCTGAATTACTAATCTCTGCTATAAAGACAGAACTTTCTCTTGAAGATACCTGTGCTTTCAGTTCTGCCAGTGCTGTACAGAAAACTTAAAAGTCACCAGCTTAAGCTTTTCCAGGTTAATTAGTTTGACGTATTTGTGCTTTCTTAAACATCACTTACATGTAAGCAGACTCTACCTATCAGTGTAGATAGTGTTTTGGTTTCTATTTCTGAGGGTGCCATGTTTTTTTCTTTTGTATTTCTGTACTTCTGTAATTTGCATAATAACATCCCCCTTTTCCTTACATAATCTTTGTGAAACCAGTATTGTCTCTTGTTGCTTATCTTTTTTTTTAAGTAGAACTGTTTTTATTTAACTTCTAGCAAACACTGATGAGGTTTACCTGCAATATTGATGAGACTAGAAATGAATCATTGTTGTCCACCATGAATTATTTATCTCTGATATAAAGATATATCAGTCTTTATTTATTTACTGGTATTTATCTATACCAGTCAGTGTCTATTTCTAGCTTGTTCTATCTTTTCAGTGTTTGGTAGAAATTGTTTTTCCATATTTTACTGAAATTCTTAAGCATTCAGGTCATTTTTAATAAGCAAATTTTAATAACAAGTCAATTATTTAAAAGTATTCATATTGCAGTTTCAGTTGATAGTATATCAGGTATACCACAATGAAGAAATTCATCTTTCAGTAACTGATGTGTTTTAGATTCAATAAGATCTGAATTAAAGAGTAGACTATTTTAGTCTTATAATACCATTACTGTTCTTTAAGTAAAACTGCAAACATCTAGATTGATTAGACTCTCTTATATTACCAGGAACAGGACAAGCAAAATCTAATCTAAAACAAGTAAAAATAACATCCAATAAGAGAACAACCTGGCAACCTCTTCCGAAAAATACTGAAGAGTATTTGCGAAGTGTGATGGAATCAGTAATTCTGTGAGTTAAAGATTTTTTTTTTCAACTCTTGACGCCTACTTAGGTTTTTACTATTTACATTTTTTTTCTAAGTTTACTATATATCTTTTTCATAGAGGTGAAAGAATGGCTAATATACACATCTTAAATAGCAGAGAGATTATTTGAGAAGGTGTGATGCATAATTCTGAGCTCCAGTATTTCTGAGCGCTAGGGAGGCAGAACATCATGACAGTGGGAGCAGAGCACAAGACTGGAAGCAGGGGCCAGGTGTCACTTAAATCATACCCCATTGCCCTACATATCCACCAGCCAGTCACTGTCTCCTAAAATTCCCAACTGAAGACCATATGTTCAGCACATATGCCAGTGGCAGACATAGCAGATTGGACCCGTGACACTATTTTAAGGCAGTAAACTTTTTCTGTTTCAAAAAAAGTTGCTCAATGATTTGTGATTGTCATTAGCCTAACAAAAATAAGGTTTTCTTAATTGTAGAAACTTGCAATTCTATCAGTGAAGTAAAAGTCAAATCTGTGTGGATTGATTTGCAGTCTACAAAACTTTTAAATTGTCTGTCAGTGTTGATTCTTCAGAAATTATGTTCATGATAACACTTTCTATGAAACTATCATCTTATACACAATACAAAGAAACAAAGAGAAAAATGTTTCCTCATAGAATATAACTGTATCAAAAAAGTTTAACATGATTTATTAAGATACAATTTGTTTCAAAGAAAATGTCATTGTTCTGCTTAAAGTATTTTGTATGTAATGGAGAAATGCTATGAAATACTGTGTGTGTGTATGTATATAAATGTCAAAATGAAAGCCACTATTTTGTATTAATAGACACCAATAACAATAAAAACATAGATACACAATACTAAAAATCTTAGTATCATGAATTTCAATTAAAGGTAAGTTGTATTGTTTAAAAATGTATCTAATAAACCCACAGAATTAACTAATCTGGGTTTGTAGGGGCTCACAGAGACTGAATTGTCAATCATGGAGCCTTCAGGGGACTGACCTAGGCCCCATGCACATGTTACAGTTGTATAGATTGAGCTTCCTTGGGACTCCTAACAGTGGTAGCAGGGGCTGTCTCTGACTCTGTTATCTGCTTTTGAGACCATTTCCTCCGATTGGGTTGCCTTGGCCAGCCTTAATAAGAAAGGAGGTGCCTAGTCTTGCTGAAACTTGATATGCCATGGCTGGTTGATCATGAGAGGCCTGCCCTTTTCTGAAGAGAAACTGGAGTGAATGGGGTGGGGGAGGTGGTAGGAAGAGACTGTGAGGAAAGGAGGGGAGGAGAAAAAGTTAAAGAAATAAGAAAAATCTTTGAAATGTAGATTATATTATTTTTCAAAGTAATTTTAGGCAATCTCTTTTTTTTTTCCCCCAACAGAGAAGTTTTAAACAAAAACATTAAAAGAAAGACACAAGTTCAGTATCATCTTAACTACTTAAAGGAAAGGTAATATACAATTGGAAATGATTAAATTATAATTATTTTTAAAGTGTGATTTGTTCCTATGTTCTAAAATAGATTTTTGTGGAATATACTTTTCAGTACTTTTTAAAAAGAAACAAACTTTTTAAAAAGTTTGAAAATACATACTTATTAAGTTTCAGAAAATGTATTCCAAAAAACATGGTCGTCATGTAACTTTTATTGTTACATTTTACAACTCTGTTTTCTGTCAGTATTTTAAAACTACTTGACAACTTTAACTCCTTTACACTTTAATTTTAACAACTTAAAGAGTTCACAGCTCTGAATTTCTCTTACATTTTCCATTACTGTTGTTTATTGTTACAGACTATTGTTTTCCTTCATTTTAGTCTTAATTATGTTTTCTTTTGCTGTGGTAAAACATTAGGACCAAAGCAACCTGGAAAGGAAATAGTTTGCTTCACCTTACAGCTTATAGTTGATCACTGAGGGAAGCCAGGGCAGAAACCTGGAGGCAAAAACTACAGCAGAAGCCATGAAGGAACAGTGCATATTGGTTTACTCCTCGTGGCAGGCTCAATCTGTGCTTCTAGCACCCAAGACCACATGCCCAGGCTGGCCTTCCCCACAATTAGCTGGCCCCTCCTACATCAATTGTCAGTCAAGAAAATGCACCCACAAGCCAATCTGGTGGAGACTGGATACGTTTTTTTTCAGTTGAGGTTCTATCTTGTAAAAAGACTATTAGTTCGTGTCAATTGTTATAAAACTAGCCTACACAGCATCATATTGTATTACTCAGTTACTTACACCAGCAATAAGTACAATTTCTCCAGAAACTGCTCCTAATTTTGTGGTTCATCACTAATGGAGGCTCCTTTTTTGTTATTGCTTTTTTTTTGTGTGTGATAGGGTTTCTCTTGTGTAGCCTTGGCCATCCTGGACTTGCTTTGTAGACCAGGCTGGCCGCGAACTCACAGAGATTCCCCCTGTCTCTGCCTTCTTGAGTAATGAGATTACAAGTTTGCGACACCTCACTTAGCTAGAGGCTACATTTAAAATGCTCTTGAAAGCCACACCAACACTGGTGTTTGGAATGAACACTTTTCTCTTAGTATACAACTTCTTATACACCTTCCAATTTAAAAGAAATGTGTGTGGTTTGGTTCTTTTCACGTGGATGGGTCCCTTGAGCATAATTCTCAAGAATGATTCTCTGTAGAAAGAGTGGCATGGTTTGAGGTGGGGCAGATGTAGAAATTTGATGAGCAAAGTGGATAAGTTAAAGAACTGGAATTCAGCTCTTAGAGCAGTTACTAGTTATAGCCTAATAGTGAAGGACCATGATCATATCCAGAAGAGAAAAACATCACTAATGAACAAAGAGCTAGTCCTTTTTAATATAGGCCAAATAGTGTAGGAAAGATAATAAAGTACATATTGATCACCCTGTGTTATCAAAAAAATACGTTTAGCTAGTAGGTGTTCTCTTCATGTGGAACTAATTTACTGCTTTCCTATTTTATGTCTGTAACTTTTAATTTTTAGGTTCATATACCAAAGCAATGTCTCACGCACCTCTCTCTCTCTCTCTCTCTCTGTGTGTGTGTGTGTGTGTGTTTGTTTTGTAGTATTTTATTTTTCATTCTTGTTTCTCCCACCTCTGTCTTTATCACTTTTATTTCATTGCATCCTTTCCCCCAAGACCTCTTCTTTATCTCTTCATGTTCCATTTTCTAATTTCACTGTCTACACATTTATTTAGTTAGTTATTTACAAATAAAGTTTTATTAGAACGCAGTCACATCTATGTGTTTACTCAGGATCAATGGCTGTTTTTAGGCTATAAAGACAGGGTTAGGCAGCATGACATAGACAACATGATGTGGTAAAATCAAATAATTTACTCTCGGGTTTTATATAGAGCACACAGGCTGATCCCTAGCTGAGTGACAAATGACACTTGTCTTACTGTGTACACATGCATCATTTTCAGAGGGATCAAGTGGTGACAGTCAGAGAGAATGTGTGGATAGGAGCCCAGTGTGGGGTGTACACCTATAAGCTAGCATTTGGAAGGTGGATGCAGAAGGATTTGTGATTTTGTGGCTAGCTTGGGCTATATGAGGAGTGGTCTCAAAGGAAAAAAGAATATATGATGTGTGACTTAAGGCTTTTATGTCATTCAGGAACATTAAAAAAGGAAATTAAAAATGCAAATCACCAGGCAGTATCTCTGGGCAATATTTTTCAATGAATTGGACTCTGTTAAAAGAGACAACCAAGAGCCAGTGCAATGCACTTGATTATCACTTTATGATAAGTGAGCCTTCCTTGTGTTGGCAACAGAATATCTCCTGCTGACAGACTCTAAGTGGCTGACAGATTGCATCCAAAGGTCAGTATTTTGGCTGCTTTCTGTCACAATCCTTGTCAAAGCTCAGCTGCACAGCAGCTTCCATGGCCAGGATCTTGGGACACTGTCCCCATACAAGCACTTCATCTTGGCTTGGTGCCTCTCCCCAAGCTTCTCAGATGGGAGCTCTACTGACCATTGGTAGTTGTAGTACAGGCCATGATTGGCATTGACAGGCATTCACTTAGTCATCCAGGCAGTCAGTCCATGTCTAGCTGCCGCTGTTGCTGCCACTCTCTTCTCTGTTATTCTCTGTGGTCTCTGCAAAGTACTTGCTGAACTCTTGGTGATTTCCATATTGATCAGGTCACATTCTGCTTCAACATCTGAAGCCTACTCCAGCTCTTGCTCTTCACACAGTGCTTCATCTTGTCTTATGGATGGCTGGGTCCTACTGCTATCATGCAGAGGCTGCCCAGAGTTGTTGAGATATGAAACACAGTAGGGAGACTCCTGCCAGTCCATGTGCTGGCCTTGAAAGTTCCAAGAATGCCCAGCCTCATAAGCAAGAGAGTTCCAGGGAAGAAGTCCATGAGGGGAGAACCATGGAGAATTAAAATAGAAACTCCTGGACTTTCGGTAGGCATTCTGGTGGATTCACATCCAAACCATTGCATGTTTATAAGGTCACCAGTGTACAGTAAGACAAGTGTCATTTGTCACTCAGCTAGGTTTTATGCATTGTTTCTTTAAAACTGTTGTTATTTGTGTATGTGTATGTGCACATATACTTTGAGGAATTGGTTCTCTCCTACCTTGTGTTCCAGAGATTGAACTCAGGTCATCAGACATGCTTGCTAAGGGCCTTTTCTTGCTGAGCTCATTTTACAAATTCTTGACACTCATGAGTCAGTATTTTATGATGGTGAATTTTCCATTCATGGTATCAGTTTGGCACCAAAACTGGTTTAGATTTTAGAACATTTTAAGCACTTTGGGGAGGTGTTCAACATAAGTAGAATTTTTAGAAAAAAAAAAAATTACACTGTGGCAGAAGCAATTATGATTTTATTCTCAATTTCTTATAAAGCTAAAGAATCTAGTTTAAGAATCTTATTTTGCTGTCTGTTGGAAATGTGGAATCACACAGATTAGTTAAGACTTCAATTAGAATATAGACTACAGTCCATGTCTTAGTACTCTACAGCAAAACATGAAGAGATCATTATCTTATCTGCCTTAAGGTATAAAACTCAGTGATCTTTGAAAACATTTGGATTTACCTTTTATTAGTTGCATTCTTTAAAGTGAGAGGTTAAGGTTTGAGGTCATATTTAAAACTTGTAGAATTCTTTCTCTTATCCAACAATCCATACTAAACTGACATGCTTACATTCTGTAGTAGATTAAAAAGTATTTACACAATAGTAGGAAATTCTGATTTCAAAATATATTATAAAATGTGTAAACTAAAAACAATGTTTTAGTAAAGTAGCCTTAGCATTCCATGATTTGAGATTACTATTAATGTGTTGAAAAGTTGGGTGATGGTTTATTAGAAATGTTTTGGGGAGGAACACTGTTAGCCATTGTGGGGGTCATGTAAAGAATATTGTAGTCCATACAAGTATGGGAGAAGGGAAAAAATGAAACTGTTTAAAAAAAAAAAATAAAGATAATCTTCCCAAAAATCAACATGGTATTCTCTTTTAAGATTACTGCAACAGTGTGGAACACTGAAAGTCCCTTCCAGAAAGTTGAACTATTCAACTGATGTTTCTAATCTGCTGAAAATGGAAAGAGCACAGGAAAGAGCTAATGAAGAGGACCTGGCTTTACTGCAGGTATGACATTCAAAAGGTCTCCATGATCAGAGGAAAGAGAACAAGGGTAAACTTACCAGGATTTTAACTAAGGTGGTATACTAATCTTACATATTTCATAAGTCCTTCAGAGTTGTGCATTGAAGTATTCACAAGTGAGGTGGTATGATGTCTAGGACACACTTTAACGTAGTGCAGCTATGATGGCCCAGAAGTTTATTTCTGTTGTTCTTTGTCTGCACTCAGCATATTCCTGTTTGATTTATAATACATTTACTTTAAGCCAGTAACCTTTCTTTTTTGCCTTAGGAAGAAATAGACAAAATCGTAAAGACCACAGAGTCAGTGACTGAGAGTATTCAGAGCCTAAAGAACAAAGTTCAAATTTTGACAAATGAAGTAAAGGAAGAAGAACAGAAGGTGAAACAGGTAATTGTTTAAAACCGTATTGCTAGTATTTAATTATAATTTTTAATGTTAACTGTTACCAAAATAACTTGAGTATGTAAGGTGAACAAAGTCAGCTTTCTGAAATAATCCCTAGCTTTCTGTTTGTATTTAGGAATTTAACATCGTTAGTAATAAGGTATTGGCTCTTCCAGAACTCTCTGAGAAAAGTCTTAAAGCACCCATACTTCAAGTAAGTACACATTTACCATACTGACTATTGCCAGGCTATATCACAGATACACACGCACACACTCATAAAACCATATCCCAAACTCATACTGTTATAAAACTTTTGGCAAATTACTTTTCTTACTTGGCAATCTTTTTTTAACTTTTTATTAGTTCTTTGTGAACCTCACATCATGTATCCCAATTCCACTCATCTCCCCCTCTCCTTATACCTGCCCTCTACCCTTGCAACCTTCCCCAACAGAGAAGAAAAAAAAAAAATCTCCTTGTAGAAGGTGTAGTATGTCACAGTGTATCCCATAGCATACCCTTTTGCCCACACTTCTTTGCTTGCAAACATTTGTCGCAATGACTGGTTGGTTTGGTACCTTTGGCTTCTGCTACTCTATCAATACTGGAACCTCACTGAGATTCATCTTGGATATCCTGTTGTTGCCCTGTGTTGTGGAGATTCTGTAGTTTTGAATCTATAGAACCAGCTCCCATGTGCACTCCAGCAGTTCATTGAGGGGATAGATGTTGGGGTAGGCCAATTCAAAGCCCTGGATCTGAGCCTGAGAGATACTGATCTGCTCAGTGCACTGGCTCTCCCTCTCTTCCACTTTCCTTCCCTTACTCCCAACTCAAGAGTAACCCCCACACCCAGGGCCAGTTCTACCCAGGTAAGGCGCAGGGTCCACTCTCCCAAGTGTTACATGACTTAGCTAGTTCTCCCATTCTCATGACCCTGGGGCCAGTTCTCCTATATGCCATAGGTAGTGAAGGATGAGGGAGGGTAGGATGGTGTCTGCACCACTGCCCATCAGACAAGAGGCAGAGCCAGCTCTTCTGCACTCATACCCTCTGGTCTAGCTCACCTGCAACTCCTACATCCAGGGCCGTTTCTGCTGTGCTGCCCATGTGAGGTGCGGGGCACACTTCCAAGTTTTGCAGCAGTTGAGAGTTGACATATAATTTGAACATCTTTTCTATCCATTGATAAAGACTCATTCCTATCAGTTTGTATAAAACATTGCATTGCACAGATGTGCCATTGTTGTAAAGTACTGATAGAAATAAGTAATTTTACATCTTACTCCTTTATATGTTTTTACGTGCCTGTATAGTCAAAACTGTATCTCTAATTTTTTACTTTTAACAATGACATACAGCTCTTTAAAAACTAGCACTGCAGTATGTCATTAATCTATACTCTCATAATTTGTTTTCCAGAGAGTTCCTTGATACTGTGTAAATGTTGGATGGTGGCCACTTAAGATTTCAATAAATGTCTCCAAAATGACAGACATTGATACTTTTCATCATAAAATGCTAAAGTTAATTGTACTGTCTTACCCACAGAAAGAAATTTTGGCACTAATTCCAAACCAGAATGCTCTTCTGAAGGACTTGGATGTTCTTCATAGTTCAGCCCCAGTGAAGAACATGGCAGCATTCATTCAAGAAGCATATCAGAAACTTGATGGCTCCTAAAGAGCTGGTTTTTGTTTTTCTTTTAAGCATTGTTACATATTAACTTATTGTTCATGAATGGTAAAACTTTTTAAACAGTCTTACTACTGTTTGTAGCCTAGACTGGTTCAAAACTTACTATATCGCCCAGATTGGCCTGAACTTAGAGAAATTCTGCTTCTGCATTTTGAGTGCTGGAATTACAAGCATGAGCTGCACATCTGGCCCAAAGCTATACAACTTAACTGCAGTAATACTACAAAGCTGATGTGTCTGCAGAGCACTTATCCTCTGTTATCTACTTTAAAACTAGCTTTTGCAGGCCTACTATTAGTATCTAATGTCCTAAAACATTTTATAGAAGTTGCTAAATCTAGGAAATATATACATATGTAATTTTTTGCTAAAACTCTGCACTAAGAATGATTTTTTAAAATTAAATAAAAAGACCATGATGTGATAGTTTATTGTGTCTGTGTGGAACTTATTATTGAAAATGGTTTTGGGGAGTTGGTGTGTAGTGCCTACTTGGTAGAAATATGAGTATTTCTCTCTCTTCTCAAAGCCTGCATTTACTGTCTGGTCATGTGGAACTTGAAAAATCCCAAATGCTTTCTTAAATCCCTGATTTCTGTGGAATTACTGCTATTTTTCAGATGTTTTTGCATTGGAGGTAATATTTTGGTCCTTTAGTTAGTGATTGTTAGGTACTGTCATCAAAGCATACTTTAAGATTGTTTAAAGGGAACCTGGCTATGTAAATTCCCTTTCAGATAGAAACAAAACAAACAGCAACAACAAAACTGCCATAAAACTGGGAAAACCCAGCATTGAAGAACTGACCACCAAAAGTAGAAGGCGCTGAGAGATGAAAGGGGGAGCCCACAGCCTACAGTTACAAGTGGAAATGTGTCAGACTTGCAGAGGACACTGCTTAGTAGCCAAACAGGAGGATCCCAGCACCCTAGCAGAAAGAAGGGTTGCTATGCTGAATGACCCACAGCTAGCCAAAGCAGTTTCTGAGAAACTGTTACCATATAGTGTCAGTTATGAGACAGCCTGGGGTCAGTGCCCACCGCCTGTGTACATCTTAGATCTCAACAGCTATCCTAGAGTAACAATATGTCAGGACAGGTGACAGGCAAGGTGGCAGTTTTGACCAAGACACCATTAGTTATATCAAGCTGTATTCAACCGAAGCATTTTTGCATAGTCCTTGACTTGGATAAGTTTTTGCATGTGAGTAAATGATTCCATAAGCAGGTCTGAAATCATCTCTAAGCAACAGTTAAATATTGGCTTGGATTTTTTTAATCTACATAGAACTGCAATTGAATTTTCTATTATAATAGAATATTTTTGTTAGTTTATTTTGGAAATGCCATAATAGTGCTAATGTCCTTCAGAATTTCCCAAGAATTCACCCATGGTTAAATATGTTGGGAGTGATGCCTACTGTAGAGGGAATCCTGTCGGAGGGATCCTAGAACTGCTTGATTCCAAAGAATCAGAAGCAGGATCATCTAAGGAATAAAGGTCAGAAGGATTTCAAGAAAGTAGATTTCACAAAATGTCTTAAAACCCTGAACTCTGCAACTGAAAACTTGGTGCTTTTAGACTAGTAAAGCCCTAAGTCATTGATTTTTATCGTTAGCTAGAATATTTACACCAGCAACTACTTTCCTCAGGATATCTACTTGATAGATGATTTCAAATCAACTAGAATATTAGTTATCATTACTACTGAATGAGCGTCACCTTGTTTTGTCTGAATTGCTCATACTACCCTCCTGGCTATCTTTGGAAGTGTATCCTTTAGCTTAGGTCTGTGCTACACCAGGCATACCAGGCAAACAGAAACAGGCAGTTTTTCTTTAAATGCTTTATTTTGACATACTTTTGTAATTTATTTGAGGCAAATATGTGGCTAATATTTTTTATGATCAAATAGATGCTAAGTAATTAAATAAGGTCTGAATGAATAACAGGTGTCAATGTAGCAAAAGCCAATGTCCCAGCAAGCAAAAATAACACTGTAAAAAGCAAGTAACTCTGCTCTGGTGGTTTTGAAAAGGAGCCGAGCCAAATACTGACTATGCTGCAGACTGGAGAAAACAGCATTTATATATAAAGTCCTTATATATAAAGAACTGTAAAATAGGTATTATAGGTTAACTACCAAGAGAAAAATGGATTAATTCTTAAAGGAAAGCTTTAAAAGTTAAATGTTTGAATAGTATTCAACCTTATGATCACTTAGATACAAACTAAGTGCTTTCACCAATTAGATTGAACTAAGAATGAAAATTGTTGAATAAGCTAAAAAGAAACTAAGTGTTCGGTAAACTGCCACAGGGCAATAACTTAGTCTAATTGTCCTGGGAAACACACTGTACAGTTTTGCAGCCTTCATGTCATGTTAGTCCTTTAAATTTTTTATCTAAGCCTCTCTATCACCTCCCAACCTGTTTGCTTATCTTCCACACTTAGGCTCTGTGAAATGTGAAACACCTGTGGTAGAACCTATGATTAAAGGATTTACTTTATTTGGTTGGATATCATTTCTTTGCATTCTCTGTTTACCAAAAATATGCAGTTTGCACCTGTCAAAATTAGCCGTTGGATTGTTCCCATTGGTTTCTAAGCAGATCTAAATCCTCTCATGTTTCGTTTATTGTCAAGGAATATTGGACTTTGGGAAAGAGAAAGGAATGAAGGATGGCAATTGTAGGGAGGAATTCCAGTTTCCCAGTTGAAAGATAGCATGTCGTCTACAGGTATGAGCCCTGTTTAATGTTCAAAGGAACTTTTCTTCCAAAACTGCCCTTCCTATGTACATTTCTTTACTACACGGCCACTTTTTCTAGGATTGGGTGTTTGCCCGCTTGTTCTTTGAGAGAGGCCCTCATTTTGTAGCCAAGGCTGGCCTGAATCTTGTGTCAAAAAACCTGCTGGCTCTGGTTGGAAAATGTTAGGATTACAGACATGCGCCACCATGCCCAATTTGCTTCCCTCTTTGAAATAGTGACAGGGCTATGAATTACTACAGCAATAGTACAAAGATGGTCACAATTCAATTCAAATTCAAAAGGATGTCTTCCAAATTCACTGAAACTATTTTAGAATTCATTTAAATGAAATTGTTAATTTATGAGCCAATAGAAAAAAAAAGTATGTCTTAGCCAATTTTAACAATTTTCATTCTCAAGGAAGTTCTTAAAATTAATGCAAGTTTTCAAGTGAGACAAATATGACAGAGGAGCCTTTCTGATGGTAACAGTGGTAGAGGGCTTACGTGTGTGGTGTGTGTAGCCACATGCATGTATTTCTGTCCTATGACAATATTTAATCTCATAACAACCAGTGGATATTAAATGTCATAATACTATCCATTCAGCAGATAAGCTGAGGAACCAGTAAGTTAACTGTCTTAAGATCACAAATAGTGAGTGATAGCATTTGAACACATAAAATATAGTTGAAACCTTGACTTCTTAGAAATTTCCTGAACTACAGTTATAAGAAACAGTTATCAGTGAATATAGTGGGATGGATCCATGTTTTTCTCTGATAATAATAACAAATACAGATTTATCACTTGTGTTTACTGAGGCAAACCACTTTCTATTACTTTTATATTCACTCAAGCACTCTCTTCTTCAGTTTGGAATTGAGTGCTCACCTCACTCTAAAACGCATGCTGCAGGATAATCATCCTCACCCAATTCAGTTTTTCTGGGATGTGCACTTCCTCTTTGTTATGTTTACTTAGGCCAGAAGAAACCATTCTGAGTAGTTCTGATGTCATTCAGAACCGAGACCCCTGAGTCGGGGTAGAAGCCTGTTTTGGATGCCCTTACACAGGATATCATCCACATTGAGGGAGACGCTCCTGTTTCTCAAAGGTCATAAGTAACCTGGCGTCTCTCTTAAATAATTTTCTAGGATGCTTTACACACATTTTTAATTCCACAATAATAGTATCATTTATTTTTTAAGTCTATATTACTTAGTGCTTATTTAAAAACTACTTACAAAATTCTTTGGACCACAAAAAAAAAAAAAAAAGCTGTGTGGTGCTCTTACATGTCTTCAGTTTTGTTTATCAATATACCAGTATCTAACATCCTTAATTTTAGCACAGTGTAATTTATATAACAATTTCTTAAATCCCTGGTTTTCAGTTGCTGGCTACCCATTTTATTCCTTAGAACGGGGTCTTTCAGTAAATGTGTCTCCCTGACTTACCTAGTCTTAGCAGCTACGGGGATAAACGGCACCTCCCCTGTGACACGTCAAGCAAGCATGCTCCATACACTATGGACGCATTGCTGCAGTTTATTTCCCAAAGGTGAGTGTAGCAGCTGATGTGCCTGCTTGATGGTGGAACTTCAAAGGCTAACATTTCATTTAAAAGAGTATGGTGAAGGAAGTAAAAAAAAAGGAATGTGGTAAAGGAAGTAAAATTCTCAAAACACTCTCAGTTTCACAAATAATTCTTTTCTGAGACTTTTTTATCCTGGAATGTTTAGGACAACAAAACCATTTTTCTGAAAATAATTTAAAAACATCTGAGAATCGGGATGAATAACCCTTTCCTATTGTACCTTCCTTGCCTGGCTTCTGTTCCTATTTTATTTCCCTCCATAAGAGTTGTTAAGTAGGTAGGCTGCATGTCTAAAATGTATCTAGGTAGTTATCTCTTACTCAAGACTTATATTTGTTAAATTTCACATTACAAGACAAGATGGGGTTGAAAAGAAAAGAATTGCAAATAATGCTATACTTGAGGTGATTTTTACTAGGCCCTTCGTAAATCCCTCCCCGTCTCTAGGTGTGGCCACTCTCCCTCCCCCTCTCCACTAAGGCTTAATTAGCGAAGTAGCCCTGACATATAAGTTTACTATTTACACAGAAGGAGCTCTGTGTGGATACACAGAAAAAACCTGTTTCCGACTGAACTCTCTGAGCAGCAAGGTATGTTATAAAAATGACACACTTCGAACGATAAGTCTGAAAGAATGAGAGATACAGAAAAAATAAATTTCACTTTGTATACAAGACAGGATAAATTATTAGATTTAGAGGAAAAATCACTTTTGTGTGGTTTCATTTGTCTTTTTAAGTTTTTCGTAGGAAAATAAGCATTACAAAGTTTTAAACTCTGCACTGTGGTATGATTATTAAAAGGGAAAGAAAAAAAGTCGTATTTTAACCCTAATTTTTATTCATTTCCCCCAAAGTCTAAAGTACCACTAGAGAGAAAGAAAACATGAGAGTTGTAAATCTAACTGATGAGAGTTTTGTTTTAGTGGTTGTTTTTGTTGTGTTTTGTTACTGTTTTCCTGTTAACATCATATTTCTGTCAGAGTCAGAAATCAGAGCTGAATCCAAAGATCCACAGCTGAAGGAAAATGATTTTATAACGTGTAAATGTACTAC